GAAATGTTCGAAATGAAGCGTCAATAACTCTCTGCCCACTGATAACCCAGCTGCAACCTCCACAGCAATATAGCACAGCCTAGCTAGGACGGACAGTGGTCTGAATCAGCATGGATCCTGTATCTATTTAGTTTCTGATCACAAGACACGCGTCATAGTATATGCGTCAGAATGGCAACAATTATAAAAACTACAACCTAAGGGTTTCTGTTTCAAACCATGATCTTCATATTATTACGACATAGGCAACATATAAATGGCGATGCTAACAGGAAACGAAGGAAAGGACAGATCACCCGACAAATTTTACCGCAGGTGTATATGAGAGGGGGCATAGCTCAGTGGTAGAGCATTCGACTGCAGATCGAGAGGTCACCGGTTCGATCCCGGTTGCCCCCTTTATTTTAAATGTCTTCATTGTAGCAGCGGTATAGATAATTTCTTTTCTTTTCTTTTTTTTTTAAAGATAAGCTCTAAGTTTTTGTTTTAAAATTTCCTCAACTATGGGTCCTCAATTTAAATGTTAAGAAAAAGAGAAGAAACTCAAATTAAGACAAATTAAGCAGTGAAGTGATCTGAACGTAGGATTCCCTGCTAGTAGAGGTCTCTCATAGAGAAAGCAAATTGATAGGAAAGACAGCGACCTCTGCCGGCCCCAATGCGTTTCCCATCTCGCTTACACTGGCATTTATTTAACAACTAGTAACGTTTCAGTCACGTGCGGTACAACTTCTAGTACCGGTTTGCACTTTAACAACCGTGGTCTCAGAAATCCCCAGAGTACAGTTTCAACAGGCATATGCATCCCACTTTAAACTAAACTGGTTTTGAAAACCAGTTAGTTAAGAAAAAAAGGAAAGAAAAATGCCAAGAAAGAATTTAAAAAGCTACATTTTCTCAAAAACTGTTGTTGGCTGGATATTGTGTTGCTGCTCGGGTATTGTCAGTGACTTTTCAGTCTTTTGTAGTACTTCATTTGGTGAACGAAACATCTGCAATACCAAAACAAATACCAACCTTTCCCTCTCAAAACATACAATATCTTCAAAGAAAAACCACAATGTTTTGTTTTGTTTTCAAAAAGTCCTGAGAGCTTTTCTCGAGCAACAGCCGTACAGTAACAACGCGAATACAGGAACCTCTGTGATTAAGAACTGGTCAGGCAAAAATTACGTCCCCATTTTATAAGACCTTGTTTAACCTAACATCTTGCACTGAATCTTATTTAGCAAAAAAATGCAAAGAATTTCTTAAAAGCTACATCCTTATTTTGACAAGAAATATCTCTAATCTATCTCTCTTTCAGTCACTCCAATATAAAGAGAAAAAAAACATACTTTGCTCAAAATAAAATATGATATTGTTTTCTTGCCTAAGGAAGGGACCAGACCTATATTGTTTTTTTTTTGTAAATTAAAAAAGAAACATTTTTTAAGTTTACAATTTTGAGCAAATAATGTCAGGTAAGGGCCGTTTTAGCGAAATATGTACCTAAGAACCTAAAGCCTAGATTCTCAGTAGGTGCGCGAAATGTACAAACCTTGTAAGCGGATGACTTGAATAAATCTAGCTCCTTATATGCGTTTTTCCTTTCTGCATTAAGAAAGAACATTTATAGTCACCTAATTGGCGGTTTTTTTCTTCCAAATTAAGAGTTAAAACTATAATTTATGTTTTCAGAATTGACTTCCAATGTAATGCGTCAGGTGGAAGCAAGAAATAATATAATTTATTAACTAAACAGACTTCCTTAAATTTGTTAGAACTAAATGGCATTAATTTAAGGGCTATTATTGTTGTGTTTTCAGTATTCATGTCCTTGATTATCATAAGTGTAATAGCGTCTGGTTAGGCTCGATTTCGGCCGCATCTGACTGGTGTCAGAGCATTCTAGTTATTACTGGTGAACCATAAGTTAGTAGATAAACAATGAACTAAGGACCGATAGATCACCCTTCCCTTCCGTGTTTATCATAATTAGTGGAAGTGTCTTTAGCTGCTCTATCTGGGCACTCCGCTCAAATAAAATACTAAACAAAGAGATTCCTAAGCGGTAATTGAAAAGAAGGATCGCCCGACAAATTTTACAGTAGGTTTATATCCATGGGGGCATAGCTCAGTGGTAGAGCATTCGACTGCAGATCGAGAGGTCACCGGTTCAAATCCGGTTGCCCCCTTTATTCCTTTTTACTTTAATCTTTTTATTTTTCATTGAAGCAGTGCTAAAGAGAATCACTGCGAAATCTGTCTTTCTTTGCCATTCTTTTAAAATTAAAGAAACCTACGTTATTTTTTTGCAATTCAATATAGAAGTGCGAATCATAGCGATCTAAAGAACTGCATTTCCTTTGCAGTGAGTTGTCCTAATGGAGAACAAGATACAAGTGTCCGTATACTTGTTGACAGTCAGAGCTCTTTCGCACGTTGTACGTTCATTACCTTTTTTGTTTGTTTCTGCTTCAAATTTTGATTCCAGTCGGACCTCCCAGTCCGCGACCACCATGTCTTAGGCGACCAACCATCTTTAGAAAAACAGTTATAATAAAAAGAGCTCTCTCGGGTGATTACCCGGTGGGTTACTCAACAAAGTTTTTTAAGGGGAGGCTCCGCACCGGGCTTCAACCCCTTACCCCCTATGTACCATTTTTGCCAGAAAACTTACCCCTTTCGTATGCATTGTATTGACAAATGGTACCCCTTTCACATACACTCTGCATTCCTTTAAATTGCTGTAACGACACCATATTTAAAATATGAATAAACCACAAAACCACAACTTCTCGACATTTTCACAGCCATAAAATGCACCTGTAAACCTCCTTACGAAAGAAATGACAGATTTCCCTACCTTTTCATATACTTTAACTAATGTAACCCCTACCCTTTGGTATACCTGAAGCCTGCAAAAAACTGTCCCTTCGGGCGGAGGTACCCCGTATAGGCCACTACAGGGAGTACCCCCTCCCCCTGGGAGGGCGATTAAGATCCCGGTTATTACGACCACGCACTTTCAACGCGAGTACTCCCCTATTTTGTTGTCAATATAGGGACGCAAATTAGGTGTAAGTAATAAGTTGCAGTACAACCATTTAACACGAAATGTTGCTTCTCTCTAGAAACTTACGTGCTTTGAGAAGCTTTCACCTTACAATAATACACCTCTGTGGTCTGATGTCCTTGACAGGCCACCTTCGTTGACCACCCTTAATTTTGCAGTGTGGGTGGCCATACACGGAAGGTTCGATTGTATTCCATTATTTTGAAAAAAAAAGTGTTGCTATTGGAATGGCGTTTTTACGCTTGTTCAGTCTGTCTTCCACACCCACCCTCAGTGCGTAAATGGAATAGGGGAATGTCCTGTTGTCAGGGGAAGGGGTTAGATGCTAGGATAGCCTGACTCAAAGCTTCATATAAAATGAGTCTGTAAAAGTCTCCCAAAAAAAGAAAAAAACCTAGAAAAGTTAACTTGGGATAACCTTAAGCCTGATTTCCATATTATCGTCAGGATCGTCTCCATCGTCTGCTATCGCGACGTCTCTCAAAAAATGTGTCGAGGCGATCGAGTCAATCATTTGGGAAAGACCTTTGGTGCGATAAGGGGCGATCAGGACAACTGTAGAACTGAAGTCTATATATAGGCACTTTTCCAAACTATCACCTGGATCGCCCACACACACAGTCCCTCCCCCCCTCCCCCCCCCTGGGGTCCCTCCCAGAAAAAGGGAGATCAACAATATCCGAAGGATAATTAGTCTCACGCAGACGTCACACAATGCTCCTTCCCATTACAAATGGCTGCTGAGAATCAAACCACATTTCTTTCACATTACATCAATCGGGTGGATATTTCTGCTCGTATTTTCTAAAAGTGATTCACGTCAATACTACGACTTCTCCAATCACAGCCTTGCTTTTATTCAATTTATTTTTCGGATTTTATTCCTATATGTAACAGTAAAAAAGTCGAAGAGAATGTGTCGCTTTGTTAGGGTGTTGACTTTCAACATGCTCAGTTCGGACTGAAATGATTTAGAAAAGTGGAACGCATATTATACCGTAAAATCGTAGTTATAAGACCTGGACGTATACAATGTCGCAAGGGGATTTGGGTGGGCTTGCATTCTGGAGGGGGTGGGTCTTAAAAGCAAAAAATATGTCGAAACATACCAATAACAAAACGTACGCTTAATTTCATTAAAAGAAAAAAAAATCCTGAAACTTTGATGGGGTAACAGGAACATAACGAGACATGTATAGATGAATATAGACGAACTCTAACCAGTTGGACTTATAGACGGGATTTTACGGCAAAATATGATACAGATACAAGTCTGTAACCTTTGATAAATTGTGCTCGCAAAAGTAGCATAATATGCCATTAGCAGTGATCGTATATTTCTAAAATGTTGCCAATAATTATGGCATTCTTTGCATAATTTATGCTCATGTTAGCAAAACAAATAATGCAGAAATTATGCTTCTACTTTTTACTTTAAATTAAAAAAAAACACATAAATAACTATGCCACAGACTAGTAAATGGCAAACACATTTACCTTATTTACAACTAGAACCTTTACTTGTGCATAAATCATTATTTCCCTAGCAACCACTGTATCAACTCACTGTCGCAGATCTTGGGTGGCTAAGCAAGTTATGCGCATGCGTTGAGTCCCCTGGAAAGAGTCCTTTATCACTTCCTGTGGGACCCAGGTCCCATCAATGTGTCAATAAGCAGATAAAAAATTGCTTTTCTTACTTTTTCTTTCAGAAGATAGACGAAAATTATGCTTGCAATGACGAATTATGCCAAAAATTATGCTAGCACAATCTATCAAGCATACCAGTCTGGGCAATCCATTTCCAAAAGTGGAATCGAATTTAGAATTCAGAATTAGGTTTGTTTAAAGAGACTGTTTTCTTAGTTCAATGGGACAAAAAAATCTCTATTTAATTGACTATCACCCTCCCCTCCCCCCCCCACCCCCCAGGCAAAACAACCTAAAATACTGGCAATACATCACATTGAGGAGGATCTGTTTTAACTCTGTTTAACTGCTGAACGAAGTTGACTGGAGTGCTTGTGGAAGCTGGATCCACAGCGAAGTCCATTATATACAGACCGTCTTCGATAAATTCTGCGAGGGAGGCAAAAATGTAACATTCTGCACCTTCTTTAATTTTCGTCGCGCATCCAAACATGTCGGTAATGGTAAAGCTATAAGACAAGATGGGGAGAGTTTTTAGTTAGCGTAATCACTAAGACAGAATAATGAGACAGAGAGTTAAACGCTTAGTCTAGCCCATAGGGTATGAGAATTTTACCAAAGCTATTTTTAGACCAATTAATTAAACGATTGGAACTAATCGGAAGTTGGTTCCCGGAGTGGTCCGCAAACTTTGTTTAAGTGTTTTCAAGAGAGAATTCAACAGTCGCCATGACAATATCCTTCATTGTTTGCTTTCAAGCAGACACACAAGTACTTGATGCCGCTTCAAACAATCGTTCAAAAAGTGCGGACTTCCCAGGCATTAGACTTCCGTTTAATTACAACCTCTAAAAATAACTTAATGAAATTCACATATCCCTGCCAAAGCCCTAAGACTCCCTCTGTGCCCCACCATTCTCCGTCTTGTAATCAGTGTGAAACCACTCATTGCAGGTGCAACGAAACAAATGGTACAAACTGAAGCCCATTTCTCAGGAATGAACCTTCAGTTAAATAGGCGCATCTATTTTTCGTTCTATTTTGTAGAGTCATTTTTCGCTCCAAAGGACTCTCAGTCAATTAGCGCAGAAAAGCTTGTATGACGGTCTTAAGCCCAGCACGGCGTTGCAAGTAGACATTGCAAGTTTTTTTAAGCTGGTTCAAAGTCCTGCAAAGCAAAAACTGCGTACAAAATCTATTTTTGGCTAATTTGGTAATAGGGATCTGTGGGAAGCGCTAGCACTTATATATGAGCGTTGCACTCGGAAGAAAAGTACTGACTTAGGCGCGAAGGTTTTTTCCAGAGATCTTTTATAGGGCCGATCATAGGCAACAATAACAACTAAACTGAATTGAGGGCTTACTCGTGTTTTATGATGATTTCTTGGCCTTTTTCAATGAACGTAGGTCCAGCTTGCTTGAAGATTTCAAGAACCGCTACGTTGACTTGCAGATATGAGGAGAACATTACCGCCACTCTGGCTTTGATAACTACAAAATAAAATAATAATAAAAAAGTAACATTGACATTATTCTTGATTCGGTCATTAAACCTACTCATACGGGGGGGGAGTTGAGGTGCCGCCCCACACTAAAAAATTGAATACTTGTAATACCTGCCGCAATTTTGTGATACCTTCGTCGTCATTTATGATTCTGTCGGGATCGTAATTAAATCAGGAAAGAATTTTACAAATTGCGATAGGTATTAGACTGCAAAGCAGCCGGCATTTTTGCCTAGGTTTAAGAACGCGCGCTCGAGCGGTCAAAGGAAATGTCTGGAGTGAGGGTGGAAACGGAGAGTGAGACTGGGGAGGGACGAGAAAAATTTCTCTCGCCACACGCCCTACGGGCTTGTGACGCCCACGCGCTTCGCGCGAAAATATCACTCCGGCGCTTCGCGCCCTGTAAACCCAATTTTGAGACAAAAAACCGCGGCTGTTTTGCAGTCTATAGAAGTATTAAAAATTGGAAGGATTATCACTGACAAATGACGACAGATCTACCAAGTATTGCGACTATTGTTTCGAATAATTTACAACAGATCAATTATCCTATCAGAACAGTCAACGTACCTAAATTACTGTTACAGAATATCTCACTGACATTGAAGCCTGTGCCCTCTGTAAAAAAAAAAATAATCACAACAACAAAATGAATTAATATCTAGCAATTATTGGATTCAGCTTTTGATTCACCTTTCTTAAAAAATATCAATTAACTTTCTCTTTCTAAATCAGGGTGAAAAATTGTAGCTTCGCTATAGTAAAGTATGCTGATTCGTCAGTTTAGTCTATCGGTAGCCGCTGACCCTAACGTGCTGCAGCTGACTTTCCCTAATGGACAAATCCCTCAACCGAACCTTCAGTCAAAGTCTCAACAAAACACAAAAAAACCGTATTCTTTTTGCAAGAGCCTTACACACCTGGAGCTATGCCGAATTGATCGTGATTCCTAGCCTGCATAGCTGGCGTTTTTGTCTGTCGAGCACGCCGATAAAAGGCGAAGCCGCGTAGAGAATGGGGCGGAAACAACGAGAAGCTTTGCCGCTCATTCGCGAACGCATTCACAGGTTCGCCACATGTTTACCCTCTCGCCAAACAAACCGCAAGCCACGCAGGCTACGTGATTCCTATTAGCAACGCAACAGCTTTCCATGCCTACCACTCCAGGGGTGATGCAGGTGTGCGCATGCGTAAGGCACTAGCCATAAAGCAGGGACGTTTGTTAATTACCTTTTTCCGTAGCCTTCACTGTGGCTTGGAAACCACGTGCTATTCTATTACGTGAGATACCAGAGTCTAAAAATATCTGGACACAGGTGGAGTTACAGCGAGACACGAAAGAACCTGGGGAGACTCTGGAGCCGCAAAAACGACGCCAAGGGTGTCTGTGTTGATCACACTCTATTGAAAACAAAAGCAGAAAAAAAAATTAAGAAAAGTTTGAGCCATATCTCTTTAGCTGGTAGTCAACAGTCACGTTAACAACGAATCTAACCTGCACGCAACGCTGGTGGTTTGTAACAGCTGTGAGGATAAAGATAAATTGACGTTTTTTACGTTTCTAAAGGGGGGGGGGGGGGGGCAAAGTACCACACTTATCCTGGAATGGAGCGTCAGGGGCACCTAAGAAACTACCCATACACCCAGCCTAGTTCCTAGGCGTTCTCTCTTGACCCGTTGTCCGCCGAGACGTCACAGCTCACGGTAGAGTCCAGGATTGACCGCGCCGAGAACGCCAAGGGACTAGGCTGCCATACACCTACCCCTCCTCAAACTCAACATTAACACTAACTTCTCACTTCGGGCAAAATGTTGGGTTAGGCCAGGGAGGGATAGTTAGGTGGGTAGTTTACTAGAATCTTAGACTGGCCCGAAGAACGGGAGAGCACCAGAGCCACCCGAATGATTATTCTTCTTCTTGTAAACTTTGCACTGCTCTAGGTCTAGGGGCTTATAGGAGGGTTGCAACTACAATCCACTCAGGTAAAGCGTACAAAATCAAACGCAAGGAGGCCAAAAAAGTAGGGGGCAACCGGGATTGAACCAGTGACCTCTCGATCTGCAGTCGAATGCTCTACCACTGAGCTATGCCCCCGTTGTCGATTAAGTTATAGAATAAATCTGATATATTCGGTTCTCTTTACTTTAAAGTGTACCTTATTGTGCGAGCTGAAGTAGTTTATATTCCTATCGACTCATGTAAAATATAACGTATCTATCGTGGATAAAAATCTTTTGTTTTTGTCATTTTGCAATATCTAGCCATTTAATGCTATTTAATGATTTATACAATACAATGCAATACAATTCAATAACTTTATTTATTATTCATTCAAAATATTTCCCCCATTCTGATTGGCTAAAAGCATACGCATAAGTCACCATAACCAGTTACTGATGACCAAATTTGGAAGAATCTTGTGTTTAACGAGGAAATGACGTCAAAAATGCAGCCCGCTACAGGTTGAGGGACCGTTACCGAGAAGACCTGGGGACGAGGTTGAGTTGTTTTGGTTGTGAAAAAAAAATGGCGGACATTTTACTCGTTTCAAGAGTAAGAACTACAGCTGGAACTAGGCGGAATAATTGCTAAAAACATGGCAAAAACAGCAAGAAGACAAATCGGAGGGCGACAACTGCTATTTGGAGAATATTTGCGGAGCTGGACAAACCTAAACGTACACTTAACATCGATGCAGGTAAGCATGTTTTCGCTATGTTTTTATACTAGGAATTATTTTGAACGAATAATAAAGCAATTAATGAATTCGGCTTTCGTAGGATATGAAGAATTAAGCAAATCTCGGAGTATGTTATTCACCTTGACTTTCGGCCTCGGTGGATAACACCCTCCTCGATCTGCTTAATTCTTAATATCCTACTCAACCTCATTCATTGATTGCTAATTAAAGAGAGAGACGTAATAACCTTTACAGAAATATGTGCAGCCAGCAAAAATATTGAAATAAAATATACTTATATTCTGGGTAGAACGTTCTGGGTATTTCGTAGAGCGCTCAATTCATTTAATTGAAGAGCATTGACTATTAATAATCACAGGAGTTCAGGCTTCAGAATTAATCATCGATCGTTCAGTATTGCGACAGTGCTGTTTCGTACGGTCCAATAAACGATCGATGATTACTCCTGAAGTCTGAACTCCTGTGAAATAAAATATACTATATACAATTTTATCTGAGTGCCGTACATGCCGCGCGGTACGAAACTAAGTAGTAATAAAAATGCTAAGTCAAATCTCACGTTGACACCAGACAACCTTGATTATACTGCGCTCTAGTCCTGCTATTGAGCACTCTGCCGATAGGCGTGCATATGCATCACTGAATTGGTACAAAAATGCATTAGGTATATCATATTGTACGTTAAAATAACAAAAATAAATTAAAAAATAAACAAAGGCCAATGGATATTTTCTACAGCGCGTAATATGAAATATGTAAATCGTAAAGAAAAAGTTCAAATATGGAGGAGTGGTCGGCACAATGAAAAACAATTACAATAAATAGAATAGTGGCAATTGAAGTGCAATAGATCTAATTTACACTTAATGGAGGAGAGGATAAGTAATACTTCCGCACCTTTGGGAAACCATCGATAATCTTTGGAACATTTTGGTAAAGAATCATGCATGGAATGATCATACAACCTTCGCAGAGTATCCCAAAAATTTTCTGATAGTTGTTAAGTTTTGCCTTCAGCTTTTAAAAACCAAACTACGATGACACTCTTCACTTTCTGGATAAGTTTGCGTTAATCATGCACCCCATCTCGTACGGTCAGATCCCTCCCACCCCTACCCCCTTCCGACAGACAGACGCCAATCTGGGTACGATATTAGGCATGCAAAATTTGATAGCTTGTTTCTTTACTTACCGTTAACGATTTCCAAATTGTCAAATGTCCGCAAATCGAAGGTGGTGAAATTAAACTCTAGGCTCTTTCCTTGAGGTGGGCACAGTCGCCATGAACATGATTTTCCCCTCCGGTAAGGCCAGGGGTACTCTGGGCTCTCTATCGTGAATGTTGCGTCATCATAGACAGCGACAAACGCGCCACACGCTGTGGAGACTGGTAGGCAATTAGAAAAGAAAATATTCAGTTCAGAGTTGCCATGTGAATTCGTTTGAAAACGAGACGGGAACTGGGACGAGTTAACTTTCGCAAAGACTTCTGGGACTGTTTCTAGGGTCAGGGAAAAAATTGGCCAATAGCGAGCTTTAAAAGCAACCACGACGGCGACGGCAACGAGAACGGCAAAAAAGCAATAGGTTAGGTTGGCAAACATCTTTGCACGTTCAATTGCGTTTTGTGCATTCCATTCATTCTTAGTGGTCCAAACGAATGCTGGCCACATACATGCGACGCATGCGTAATAAGAACCTGGAGATTAGGATTGCTGGCTCCTCTTGTCGCCCGCAACAATGTAATATCGTATCCAGATCTCCCATGGCTAAGAGTAAGAACTGGGTACCAGATCAAGTACAAAGAGCAAGAGAGAATAGGGACCTTAAGATCAAACGACGGCGACGGCAACGAGAACGTCATAAAAGCAATAGGTTTAATAAGGAAAACAACAACTTTGCACGTGCATCACACTTTTTTGTACATTTCTTTGACGTTTTTGCACGACTACGAAGTGAAAATGCCTAATTTCATGTTTTATAGAGGACGAAATTTTCTTTCTCTTTCTTAACTTGGATAAGGCTCTTAGGAATTCAACTCCAGGAGTGTTCGCGTACATTCGACAAAGAAAGCGAGATGGAGAAATCGCGATGAAGATTGAAAAACCGCGAATTCAGTTTTTAAGCAACCATTTACCTGCCGTCGCCGTCCTTGCATCTTAAGGTCCCTAATAATGGAACAGAGAAGGAATCTAAGGGCCTTGGCCGGGATATGTGAATTTCACTGAAGTTATTTTTAGAGGTTGTAATTAAACGGAAGTCTAACTCCTTGGAGGTCTGCAAATTTTAATCGATTGTTTGAAACGTCACAATCGGATAAAAACGTACGCAGGCTCTACGTATGGATTCTCTTTTGTTTTTGGTGTCCGGCTTGATTCGCTAAGTGCACGCGCGACTGCATCAAAGCAAAAAATGCAAAATATTGTAAGGGCAACTGTCAGGAGCTCTTGCGACTGTTGAATTTTCTCTTGACAAAACTGAATAAAAGTTTGCGGACATCTCCGAAAACCAACTTTCGATTAATTCAAGCGTTTAGTTGATCTAAAAATAACTTTGGTGAAATTCACATATCCCAACGGCTAGAGTGGGAGTTAGCCTCTCTGTTCCATTATTCTCTCTGACTCGTCCCCAGTCGTCTCTCATTACATTAAAATTGGCGTGGAAGGCTAGAACGGACTCTTTAACGAAGGGGATGACGGGAAGGACGACGCGCACATAACCCAAGCCTTTACCTAGTAAATAATTAATGAGTAGAGACAACTTGAAGACGACTAGGAAAGAGTCAGTTATTCTCTCTTGCAAAGACCAAATTGCTACTTACTAATCTGAACATAAGTTTCCGCAGTTGCCTCCCCTGCAGGGTTTTTTAAGACACAAGAATATCGCCCGGTATCATACATGGTAGCATCATTGATCTTCAGCATATTTCCTTGTTGCTTCTCAAAGGAAACAAGCTCTCCTCCTCTATACCAGGTTGCTACTATGGGTAAGGAACCCATGGCGCGGCAATGAACTGAGGCGCTGCGACCCTCCTGAATTCGTTTCACGAACTCAAAGGTGGCATTTTCAAGCTTTGGTGGCTCTGTAACAAAGCAAGAATATATTTGCAGCGTTATAATCTGTAGAGTCAAATCTGAATAGCGCATTTAAATTCCCTCATTATTGCTCTAAAGAGGAGAATATGTTCAAAACAGGAACTTAAGCAATAAATTCTCCCATGACTCATTAAAAACATTATCCAGTTTCTAGTGGGCTTAACTCCTCGGGTTGACTCTTGATTAGCCTGAGTATCAGGCCTTCCTAAGGGGATAGAGGAGAGGAGATTTTTGATGGGGGAGGGGGAGGGGGAGAAGAGAAAGGAAGGCCTGACACAAAACCATTCAGCAAATCGTGTGACACATCCAGAATCTGGATGTGGCAGTGATTGGATAACACACAATACGCCCTGACGTCACCGACCGCAAGTAAACACGAGCAGAGTGTTTTGATTTCATGTGTTAATTTTATGGATAGAGACGCAGAGAGGAATTCAAAGAGACTCTAGAGGGCGCTCTCAAGTTCTTTCCGGGAATAAAAATAACACCCGAGCAAGAAATGTGTTTTCAAAGCCTCGTAGTTAAAAGGAAAGATGTTCTCGGAGTATGGAAAAGCCTCATATACCAGCTTCTGCCTTCCTAGTATTGGTTTCACAAGACCAGGACAAAGAAGACGATATCAGTGCTTCAGATATCTAAGTTTTGATTTACAGCATCCTGCCGCTAAAAGGGTATTGTTACTGTAAATAAAATTAGAGCGAGGTAGCCATGTATTGAGAATAGCCGACAGCACCAAGGCTTTAGGTTGACTTTAGATTTTCCCTCGGACGATTTTCGGCCTGATCTACAGCAGCTTTTTAGCTGCCAGATTCTCAGGAACCTGCTTATTAATGAGCGCCGCTGTTGTAACTCTGTAAACAAAAGCAGTTTACAGTTTTCCGGGCACACGTTTATTTACAAACAGAGCGTTGGCGATCTTACATTAAGCACAATTCCTAAAACATGTTATAATTCCTCAAAAACGGCAGGTTTCCATTACAAATATTCGAAAGCTCCTCTTTGGAGGTTTGAGAAAAAGCGAAATTGTAGCATCACAAGCACAGGAGCTCGGCAAGACCGTATGGTGAGATTTATTTTAGGCGAGCTTTTTGACACGTGAAGCTGACAACCCAATGACCGGATGTGATTTTGATTGGATGGTTTCGAATCATGCTGTGTGGGGGTGGAAGGCTCCAGTAAAAGCATCTGTGTTGGAATCCCCAGAAACGCCTTTAACCTTGATAAAAAGCGAGTACCAATAACCAAATTTCCAAGACTTGGAATAATTTAACTATTAAATAGATTTGGACAAGAGACCATTTTCGCGTTCCAAAGACTCTCACTTTCAAAACGAGGCTAAGTGCAAAAATGAGTTTAATGGCCAATGACGTCACGCTGGCGGCGTGGCCACTCAGCAGTTCGGTGCTCTAGAAAATGGCGGAAGATTTCACAGGTTCCGTGGAGACGAAAAAAGACAGCAAAAATACATAACAATACGCCTCGCGAATAGAAATTCTACGAGAATCGAGGTAAGGATGTTACAAGCTTAGAAATATTTTTAATGAATTATAAAACAATTATGGAATTGGGTAGCCCTTGTACGATATGAAGAATTGTCCAGATCTCGAAGGGCGTTATCGATCCGCCTCAGTCTTGACATCATACGCAGCCTCATACAGTAATTGTTATTTGCTGTCATGATCTTCTATATTATGTTTGGTAAATTTAAGGAAAAACGAGGTCCTGGAGCCCGTTTCTCGAGAGTCACGATAATTAACGGGCCCGGAACGCTGTGTTGTTTGCATTCAAGGTCAAAGGTTTCAATAGTGTTAGTGATAACATGTTAAAACTGTTAGCCCACAAAATAATATGGATTGGTTTGTTAGTTATGATCCACGATTTTCTGTGGGATATTTAATTTCGGGCCCGAAACGGGCCTCTGGACACTTTTAATTCCACACGATTTCGTCTGCGTTTGTAAACTCATACAAACGTATGTGTCTAAGGCTTCCGTCCAACCGTGGAAGATGATAAATCAGAGTGGATAACAAATTTGAAAATGTAGAATTACAGGAGCCGATTACTATTATACCGTTTTCCTGCGTACAGCGGTTAACGCGTAGATTTACATGCGCGTACAAACTTAGTTTACTTAATGGTGCAGTATTGGTGCACAGCTTCCGTTCACACCAGAACCATGATGTACGATCTTCACGTTTGACCTGTGAAGAAGTTGTGATAACGTTGAAACATTTCGGTTAATATGAAACTGGCTCCCAAAATGGAGGTGGTCACACATTATTTAGAAGATGTGTGTACAGTCAAACCCCGCTTGACGGATATCTCATTATTACGGACAGTGTACTTTGTCCCTAGGGAAAAAAGAAAGCGATTACATCTTCTCTAAATAGAAAGGAGAAGTATGACGTCACGTTACCATGGTAGCAAAATTTCTGTGCCCAGTTGTTCGAAGGCCGATTAGCGCTTAACCTGGGGTTAAAATTAACCCTGCTTTCTTTTTCTTGTGCTCAAAAGCATTTTCTTGGATAATTTTCTCTGATATTTTTAAAGCTTCCAATCATCAACCTGTAAACAGAAAGCAGAAAGAATTAAAACTGAAATGCTTTTTAAGCTTTCAAATCTGAATTCAAATCTCGCACTAACCCTGGGTTATCTTAACCCAGCTTTGAACAAGTCGGCCCTGGATCACAACAATAGGCGAATCTTTGTTGACGTCATTGTTTACATTTTTCCTTATTTGTATACAACTTAACTCATAAAATCTGTGGCCGTATATACGAACTTAATTCCAAAAGTTAAAAGAGCTGATTAACTTTAGTATTTTGCGCAATTTTCAGCTTTTTTTAAGCAATACTGAAGGAAATACCAGCTATCGAAAATTTCGAAATAGCTGGGTGGCAAAAAAGTTAATGAGCCATACGTTCTTTGTAAAATTTCGAGTTTTTAAAAGAGAATTTCTCTCAAACCTTTCGGTACACCGGGCTCAAATTTTCAGAGATAACTGAAATTGTTACGCTCTTTCAATATTTAGAGACTTTATTTTATTAGCTTCATCAGATAATGATGATCATATGGTAATGAGGCAAAAGAAAGCGTTTTCCCACAGGACTAGTTGGATGCCATTTTATTGTATGGCGAACGAGGCGAACGTGACGTCATAGGTGTGAAAAGGCTCTATGCTCTCAGTCTGAGTAGCATAATATGAGAAACATACCTTGCATTCTGTAGTTAAAACAATGAAAAATTATAAAACCATCAACTACGAAAGAGGTCGCCGCTGCTTTAAAGAAGTGGTCGTTTACGAGAGATTCTAACTATGGTGCTTTCACAGGCAAGGTTTGTTGTTTTGGATAGGTGGTAGCTTGTTGGTCCTCCGAGTCTAAAATTCTTCTCCAAAACCCCGGTCCAGTGCAAACCTGTTCCAAAGCAGGCAGGGTTGTCACTAAGATTTCAAGTTGCCCGGTAAACACAACAAGTAGGCGGGGAATCAAACGGCTAGGGATTTCTTTTGGTTCTATTTTTCTTCTATTTTCCAATAAAAGTAGCCGGGGGCCACTCTCTTACTGAGCCGGGGAAAATCCCCGGCCCCCGGCTCTTAATGACAACCCTGTTAAAGCAGGAAAACAATATTTTTTGTAGGGTATGTTTTTGTTAACAGTTTCCAGAGGGAGTAAGTTCACAAAACGGATACTAAAAATGCCGTTTTCGAGCACTCATCTGTAATTTCATTGCAAGATTGTGAACGAACTCAGTACACGTAACTGAAGTTTTTGCGTCGCGATTCTGGAGAGTCGCTGATGATTTTCCACAAAGTCAGTAATTTCCGTGTGTGGCGGCTAAACACTCACTCCAATGCACTTTTTTACGACGAGTTCTCTCGTATTCGTCAGTGGCGCGTTTCTTTAAGATCAGTTATCAAATTAGAAAGGGGACTGACTTGAGGATCGAACAATCTTGGGGTTGAGCCAAAAATTCTTTAAAAAATACAGTAACAGTGGGCGATTTAGGAAAAACTTTCCAAAATTTAAAGAATTTCATCTAAAGCCAGGGCAATCGCATTTCATGTTGGCTTCATGTCTGGACGTGAGGTTAATGAGTTGGAATTCAGGATAATTAGAGAGCCCTTCTAATGGAAACATTAGGTTCATACGACATTTTACGAGGAGTTTCGAGTACCTATTTTGATCAGCTGTTGTCAAACACAGTTTAACTTATAGTTAAGTGAACAGCTTTTATCATCTGCAAAGGAAGCGCACTTTGAGTTGTCAGAGCAGAAAAATGAAAGAAATAGGCTATCACGACCCCGCTAGACAGTCAAAAATAATCGGAATGCAGACGATATGCATGTGACAAAACCTCAGAACACCCTGCGACTATTTTTTTAAGATGTCCAAGATAAATTTAACCACTCTTCATCGTCCTAAGCTGCTAGTGATCCAGTCCATCCCATTTTAGTCGGAAATACGTACTTCCTTTTGTTTGTACGGTGGAAAGAGGGAAAAAGGAAAACTCGTTCTTTATAACGGGACGGGGTGGGGTGAAGGGGGCGTTAGGAGTCCTGTTGCCAATATCGCATCCAGGGTCCCCGTCTTTCTTGTTCTGTTTCATGAATTTTATTAACAATTATTGAATGAGCCTGAGTATGGTATGAAGAATAATGCATATTGACGACGCTGTTATCAGCATAAATTTTCATATCATACAAAAGTTTCAGAGAATATATATAGGGGTGTCTTTCTCTTGTAAATATTCCCTTTCAAGCGGTTGACTTTGACATACATCGAGTAATATTTTTTGTGTATTCTTGTTATCATTTTTTGGTAAACAACTCTGCTATTTCGTCTTTGCATGACTGCGAACTTTGTTGCCTTTTTTCAGTTTTTCGCTCATCGCTCAAACAGTAAAGCTGCTGCACTATTGTCTTGCGTGACGTTAATGTAATTGCATATTGCATTGATGTCAGAGTGACCGACGTCAAAAATGGTATAATCTATCTGTCGAGGAAAATATCGTTTATGTCAAGAGCTTAATCTAGAAGACTCTAGAACATAAATTGACACTCAGATGTCAGGGATTAGGTTGGAGAGGCTTTTCGTTGTCTTCACTACAATAAGGTTATAAAATACGATTTAAAGATTAATATGGTCTTAGGGTTTCAGAAAGAGCTCTGTGTTAGCCTGCGAGCAAGCTCTTCATGTTAACCATGTAGAGTTGCGAACGAAGCCAGCATGGTGAGAACGCCCGACGGGGCGGCGAGGCCACGAGGGACTTAATAAAAGAACAGCTCGCGGCATCATCATGTACAAGAAGCACAGAAGGATTGTCTTCGCCTGGGTAAAGTGAAATACCATTGGCTGAAAAATGACGCACCGTCAACCTGACGCGCCTCCTCGTGCCGCTTGCCCGTGACTTCTAACAATATCGACTAAATGGAGAGCTTTCTCACAGGATAGTTCTAAAGGCACGCTTCCACTCAAACATTCCTCTACGCTCTCCCTTACCCCCGGAGTTGTGTTTTTTTTTTTGATATTTGTAACGCACATTGCAAAACAGCTGAAGATTATTTTGTTGAGTGACAAGGCAAAGATAGCGTTTAGCCCCTACTTTTGACCTAAAACTGAAAAAAAAAAACTCTTTAGCTAGCGTTTAACACTGGTCGCAATTTTTTTATCATGCGAGAGAAGAGCTCATTCCCCGAGAGTCTCAGTGAGAGAATCCCAGTACTCAGCCAAAATCAGCTAAGATTTTGGCCAGACTGATTAGATCCTTTATTAGGATCCCAGGGGCGAATCCAGGATTTTTTTTACGAGGGGGTGCACTCGTCTCTTGCTCTACTTCAACACCAATAAACCACATAGTTTTTTTTTTTGCAGAATACCAGTTGTATCAGAAAACCTGTAGATCATCTCGGGGGGGGGGGGGCACCCCCTGCACCCTCCCCCTAGATCCTGCCCTTCTTATTTGTAAGTTCGTCCTCGCTTTCAAGATTGACTTTTGATTGAATATCATTGGGCAATTTTTCTGAAGCTATAATCCCAAAAGTAATCAGCTACTTTTTTCCTGCTGATATTCTCAGCATTGTCTCAGGTATCAGCAAGATCCTCAGTAATAAATCAACTCCATGTCCATTTGAGACTAGACTATCGTTTCCGACTTATGTTTCGTGTCTTTCACAATGAGGGTGAAACAAAGGGGTTAAAAGACCTCCGCTCTGTCAATCCTAAATAATTCCCTTTGAAAAGAGGTTTTCGCTAGTCCCATCAAAATGAAAAGGCGGAAGTTCGCCTTCATATTCTACTTTAAATATTGTCTCTTTTGTGTATATATATATATTTATAAATTTATTTGTTTTTAGTCTTCTAAATTTATTTATCTATTTATCTATTTTTTTTGAGGGCCGTAGGTTAGAAAACTGTAACAGGTTATTGCGCTTCCCTCTTTAAATAAAGTTATTGTATTGTATTGTATTCTATTTATACAGTTGTGAGTGAGTAAAAAATAGCAAACACACCTCTAGAAGTGCTAAAAAACCAAATCAAAACAAACTTTGCCACCATTCCGCGCATATCGAAACCACGGTTACCCTGGGTTCCAGATACTTTTTTCTTATCGATACTGATCGTTCACGGCGAAGCCGCGTCAACGACGAATGAAGCGCCGAGAGAAAGCACGAATATTTCATATTAGGTATTTTGAGAACGGGCCTCTGGAGCCAGGGTAAACCACGTTGGAAAAAGCACCAATTTTTTAGAGCGGAGTAAGCACCGCTTTGATAAACATTTTCCGTAATTGTTCGTGTATTCTACTTCTGGTTGTAATAAAGCAAAACAACAAAAAAAAAAAAACCGCCGCCAAGAGTTCTTTCATTCCGGAAAAGTTTCCACTGAGTTGAACCACCGTAGTGGACCATTTTCAGTTAAAAAATTTCTACTCAATGTTCCGGTTTACATGACACATATTGCCAAAGGGTCGATTTTGAACCTCTCTTTTCAGAACCGCCTCGGATCGCACGGATGTTGCCGCCTTTTTCGGTTTCCGCGCACAAAAACAAGAATTGTTTTACCGTCTTCACACAAAAAAAAACAGTTTATGCAGGTACATGTCTTAACCTTGGCCACCCTGTTAAAGAAATTCCTTAGTTTATCCTTGGGTGGCCAGTGTAGACAACAACACAGTTAAATAAATTAATGACCCTTCTCTGTCATTTCTAAACGCTTGTAAAATTAACACTCGAGACAAGCTGCTTATAATTACAAACAGTTTCGAGACCTAGACTTGCCCCGCTTAAAAAGCCCCTTCCGATAAAACACAATATAATTTTTTAAAGAGTTGATTGTTCACCAGCTTGCTGGGATTTTACGGCGCGAATATTTCCGGGGGTACACCCTCTAACGGCCTATACGGGGAGGCCCCGCCCGAAAGGGATATCTTTTTCAGGCTTCAGGTATAGGAAGGAGTCAGGGATTTCATGAGTTGAGGGGATGTACTGTTCTAAAATAGGTATGTGAAAGGGGTATCATTTGTCCCGGAAAAGGGCACCCTTTCTGTCAAAAATGGTACGTATAAAATGGTAAGGGGTTGGACCTCGTGTATAAATGTATAAATTCTTGGGTTTCAAGGCGTGTCCAGAATGTCCGGGAGAGCCTTAGTTATTTGCTTACTAGGCTTTATCGGCTTTGTGATCATCCACGTAGACTTTATAAATCGGATGATATACTTTGTTTTACGCTGTGGACTTTGGCAACGCGGTTGAAAACTGAAATATAACAGGAGCCTATCACCGCTCCTGAATCTAATCAATGATTAAGTGTTGCAAAGTACATGGAACGGGACGCGGGTTGGGGGATGGGAAAGGTTAGGGATCCTTGGATCGAAGATATGCATCTTACTCTCGTATATCCTTGGTTTTTAATTTCCTTCACTTTTTTTTAGGTCGAAATGACAAGAATAACATAAAAAGAAAAACAAATGTCCGAACTAAGCAAAACAAAAATACAGCGCTAGTGAAGCGATAGCATATTAAGGGTCACTGACCTCCAACAAAAACTGAACACTCCAACTTCCCGACCCCTCCCCGCACACGAAACTGAAAAAATATAACAGGACGGTCCGTGGAATTTAAATTAAAGGGAAGCAAACAAATTAGAAAGAAATAAAAACCCTTTTTGGATGACAAATGCGTGTTGTTCTGTGTGGTTTTTCAAATGAATTCAAGTGATTTCTTCGAGTATCGCTCTTTACCAGTTTATAACAAGAGGGCGGGAGTTGGGTCGATGGTGTGCCTAGCAATTCTCATTACAGTTAGTCCGCGAGTACTAAGTCATTCGAGTTGAGGCTTGGCAAGGAAAGAGACAGCGAATGAAGAAAGGAAGAATAATTGGAAAACTCGGGAACTCGTCACACGTTTCCGAGCAATTCGTTACACGCCTTCCACGCGTGACGAATCCCTAAGAACGTCTGCCTGGGAGGCTAATTCGTTATGGGTTTCACAGGCCAGAGGGCAGGGGTAAAAGGCTCCTTTGGCCACTTTTTAGTAAATCAGCTATTCTTTCGGGAGTTTCAATAATAAGCTAGAGGTTTAGACGATTCTCTGTAATCAGCTAACCCTATCGGACCCTATTACAAGCGATATCTGTCCCCTCCTCGGACTTTTATCGTGCAAATCTCCTTTCACTAGAACCTCGATAATTGGATCACGCTAGTAATCGTGAGTGGCATGACATCTGGTCGGTCGGAACCGACTTCCGGTGCCAAAAGAAACTAAAATGTGACGCGGCGCGCGCCAAAAAGAATCAAAACATAGCCGCCTAGAAAATCCGAAAGTAAATCAAATAAAAAATGTTTTCTCAACAAGAATGTTTTCTCAATTCGACTTGAAAAAATAATACAACAGTGACGGTTCTGTGTGAACTGAGGTGATAAAAAAATATAAATAAATAAATAGGTACGTATTTCAAGAAACCGAAGTTTTTTTTTACTTACCGCAGTTCGGGTCGATAGACGCCTGGCAATAACCAGCTTGTACAGCCGCCACAATTTCTTGAGTTGCGAGGTAGGCCGCCTCAGGAAAGCCATCATATCTCGCTGTGAAGTCTTCGTTCAAGAAGAAAACATACTCATTGCCTTCAAATACATATGTTAGACACAACTCTTCTATACCGAATTGCCCAAAGCAAACGACTGTTGGAATCTCAAACGGTGATTTAAAGATCTTTCTGATTTCAACGCAAGCATCAAAGATTTGTCCAGTGGGCAAGTCCGATGTGGTCGTGTTGATCACGCGTCCTTGGAACACGATGGGCGCAAGAATTGTCCGCTGCGTTGGACCATAAAATACGGCGCCAGGAGGTACCGAACAGGGCAGTACAACAGGTAGAAACGCACCAGTGATGAGAAGAAAGATGAAATACATTTCAGGAGGCCTTTTTTGGCCTCACAGCCGGACGCGCGCAGATGTACAGTGTCACGCGGCCGATGGTAACGGATGAATATATACCAACTTGACAAATTACGGTGTGAAGAATGTCATTCATGACTTTGTTTTTGCTTTTTCAAAGGGGATAATCTTGCAGTTCAAAAGGTTGTTTTGACAGATTTACTCAACAGCTTTCGACGGTGGTTTACGACCCTCTCGCGTGCACGGAATAGAACGCTTATATCCTTATACATAGTCAAAACACTCGCGGAATTTAATCATGAAAAAATGAAAATTTCACTATTTTAACCTGGGCACCTAACCTTGAAAAGAAACTGTAATGTAAATGGAATAATTTGCCTTGTGGTTAGAGCCCCATTTCCGCAATTTCCGATGCGGTGAATGACAATAGACTTTTCTTTTCTCCATCTCGCGATGCCGCGCCGGTCGACTGAAATAAGCGTGACAATAAGGGAAGACCAACCCAAGATTTGTATCTAGAGGTTATCAGCATTTCTAATTGTTGATAGACAACCAATTTTCTCGCCGAAATTGGTCAAGGGAAGACTGGCTAGTTATGTTTATCACCGGGGGAGGCTCCCATCTGAAAGGGGAGGATGCTCGTCGGGAATTTTGAATTAAACCCTTTTACAATCTGGGCGTGGCCCAACCTGATTAGAGACCATCTTAAACTTTGATGACATAAACTAATTGAAAATACATAATTTTTTTTATTTTTCTTCGCGTGCAACCCCAAAGGAGATCATTACGGCTAAACATCAGAACTTAACCCTAAGTGAGACCAAAATCCGGGGGGGTTGCGGGAACATTCTGCTCGGCCCCTCTTCCATAATCTATTCATAGCTTTCATTTTTTGATAAGGGTAAATGCCTATTAAAACGGGGAAAAGAAGAAGTTTCACCTATCCAGGTATGACGTTTTTTTTAAAACAAAAATTCGGAAATACCTTGTTGTATTTGGTCGCTTAAGATTTACTTGGCTACCTTGGCTACCGTCTCCCTTCGTTGGGATAAAGCTATAATACAGTCTAATCCTCAAAACTGAGCCAATTTCTAATTAGAGTCTAATTAGTTCCTACCGAGTCCTGACGTAGTTTACTTACCAAATGGAGGATGCACTAAAATTGCATTAAGGCGCAAGGTAACGCAACCTAGCTAGTACCACTCTTGAGGATCTCTCAACCTTGTACCGAGAAAATGGGAGGGGAGGCCAGATGGAGATGTTTCAGTAACGGGTTTTAACTTAGCCTGTATACGTACAAGAGACGTTATTTTTTCGCGTTTTCTGGCGAGCGAAGACAAGCACGAGGCGGGCGTGGAGCGCCTTCCCCCGTCGCGCGTGTCTGTTGCTCCTCGGCTCGCTTCGCACTTCTAGCTTCTCGCGCGCCTAAAAACGCGAAAATGTAAGTCTGATCCCCTGTTAGCGCACACACACGGAAAAAAAGAAGAAGAAGAAACAATTGAATCAGGAGCCTTCAATTTAGATTTGTCCCCAAGTCCCTTCATTTTAAAGGTTGATCCATCAGAGTGGGGACTGGGCCCTGTAAGCATTTCTAAAATCTCTCCTTTCCGCAATATCTTACCGCAAATGTCATGAGCTTGTGGGAATTTGTAGAGAAACCCAGTGCGCAAGAAATACAGGAAATGGCAAAGATTCAAGAAAGAGGTCAGTATGAGTCAATCCACTGTCCTTCTTTTATCTTGTGAGGTCTTTGTGGGCGTTTTAGAAGAATTCAGAGCTTTTGGAGGGGGTAAAAAATGGAGGTATGGTGTATATTTTTTATTACTTTCTGTGAAGTTTGTGGAGTACAGCTTAATTTTGCAGAAAGTAAAAGCCTTTTTTACAATTACAACGCTTATGTTTGAATTTTGTGTTGATAACTTGCAACATATTTTCGATCGCGTCGTCTTAATTACTGACCTGGTTCGAAGGAGTCAAAATGAAAGCAACGTTTTGTTTGTTTTTTCATTTCATTCATAAGCTTACTAAAATCTTGCCGTGTTAGCCGAAAGTGAAAGTCTTTATGATGGGAAGAAGGGAAAGATAAATCATTCTTTCAAGAAATGTGCACTTTATGATGCATCAACAAGTCTAGGCAGAATTCACCCTTCATGCTTCACTAGTATCATTATATTATGGACTGTTGCTTACTGGAACGTAGTTGACAATTCACGTCAAGAGTAATTTAACTCCAGAAGCATCAGGTTCTTATATTTCAGTGATGGAGACAATGAATAGCATAAACATTGTTTTATTTATTTTTTTATTTAATTCAATATTTATCCAGGGGCATCCAATTTAGCAGAGCTAGTTTAAATGGAGCCCTGACAAAACACAAAAACAAAGATATTAAAACATTAAAATTAGACAATTGATTAAGTTAAGACAACATGTAACGCAGGTGTTACTGTTTAAAGTGGTGCTTTAGCTTGATTTTGAATTCACTGACTTGCAGTATTCTGTTTGGACTCCAAGACAACTTCTCTCCATGATAGCAATAACAATAAAGTAATGCTCCATCAAGAACAAATCTTCCAGACTTGTGACTACAATTTTCTTCGAGAGCGAAAAGCACATGTTATGACAGCCGATAATACCAATGGAACAAAATGTTCCAGGTAGGGTTGTCACATTACAAGTCTAGTCTCACGGGGGTCAAAACGATCTACCACTTTGGATTCGGGCCCAAACATGCAGAGAGCAGATGCAGAAAGTGTCCCTTGTCCATGGGTTAAGCTTGATCATACTTTGCTTTGCTTTGCTTGTAGGTTTAGGTGGAGGCTCTCACAACTTTTCTACGATGTGTTTTGGACCTTGTTATCATGTTGATGGAGGTTTGACTTCTTTAAGTACCTCAAAAGATGGATCACAAGTCGTGGTTGCTGGAAGAAATGGTGAGACAATGTCCAAGGACCATTTTGTAAACTTCAGTGGAACCATTACCCCCCTCCCCCCACTCCACGACTCCACGTCCCCCTACATACCTACCATGTGGCCATATCATTATCATGGCTACTTTGATTTGTCTAGTTACAGTGCGACTACTATCAGTAATGGGGCCATCTTGACAAAGTTGAACATTCAGATTACAAGAGAACAACAATACATTCCAAGAAAGTTGGCCTTGGGCCAATCAGCAGTTTGTAAAAAAAACAATCAGTTACTGCCAGCACAAAATTTAGATAGTGACAGCAAATGTTTTTCAAGAAAGCAAAATGTTTCACCGCATAATGTTTTCTATTTGAAACTTATAACACCCAGGAGACATACTTGTTTGACACAAGCTGTCATTTTGTCATTTACCAACAATCTTGTTGCTACCATTGTTGTGTTTTGCAAGAACAGGCAACCTTAAATGTTACTAATTAACATTTACGTTTTTTGCCTCAGTCATGCACTTTAACGGACCTCTCAGGAAACATGGGCTTTCTTCAGCTGGTTCGAAAGGTCATGACTGTTGGTTGTAATTGGTTGATTTCAATTCATGTTGTTTATTTCATTTCATGGTAATTATGACTGACAACTAACTTTCTTGGAATGTATTGTCATTTTCCTGTAATCCGGTTGGTCAACCTTGTCCAGGTGGCCCTGGTTATGGTAGTCACACTGTAACATGTCCATAGATTTTCTTACAAGAAAACCCAGTAACGCTGCCAGCAAATTAATGTGACCAACAACAATATAATATTATTGTGACAGCTTAAAGGGACAGGTTTACTGTTAAGCCCATGCTCATCAATTAAATTACTTCTTTCCAATTTATTATTGATTCTATTGGTTATCCCACTCACATGTATCTCAGCGATCTCAGAGTGTATTTCAAAGTAGAATAGTATTTCATAGTAACCTGAAGTAGGATGGAGGAGTACTAAAATCGCAGAAAAAATTAGTGGATTATGCCAACACCACCAACGTTGAATTTATTGTTGACCCGAAGGTTTTATTCCATGGTTGATTAATTTACAGCTATTTGCAAATATTTAAGTTGATCAAGTGCAAGTGACTGCCAGGGGAGTGTGCAGATTGGTTCTTTGACAACATTATGACATGATCATATTGCTTGCATAGACGATACAGCATGTCCCGGCAGGAAAACAGTATTTTGATAAATGAGCTTGCGCTGAACCATGAACCTGTCCCTTAAACGTGCATACCCCTTAATAATTCACCTCATTCATACAACCTCGTAAATCTTTTTTTTTTTTAAGAACTGACATTAAGTTACAAAGAAAAATAAATCTTAAGTCCTGACAGAGTATTTGTGAAATCAGGATTTTATTCATTTGACAAGTACAGTTTCCTTTAATTTATAACCATGCCCTTTACAAATTCAGCAATAGTCTATAATAGGAGTTTACAATAGAAAACAAGAAGAGAAAACAGCCAAATGAAAATTACCCCACCCCACTAAAATGGCCACTCCACCATGACGAATTCTTTTTGACCTTTTAGTCGCCATATTAATGGAGCTCTAACTGTACTCTTCAAAAAGTCGGTAATATTTAACAAAAAACTGAAATGTTAGTCTGACTATAACGGTATGGCTAAAATTTGTCTCTAGTTTTTTGGGGCAAGATAACATAACAAGAAGCAGGTTTGCAATTCAAAGTCTATATGTTCACCTATCAACATACCAAGGAATCACTGTCTATTTTATTTTGAGATGTTCTACTCTGATCTGTTTCCTGGCTAAAACATCTTAGACCTTTCAAAAATAATTTGGTACCGTGGGTCCATTTACCCCTTTTACTCAAAGACCATGATATGGCTTGATTATTTGTTTCCCTAACTCTTAAATCGGTGGATAAAATCTTATGGTGTTGCCATTCAAATAAAACCTCTTTTACAGAACTTTACCAAGTAGTACCACGAGTTTACTGTTTACCTTGGCATCATACATTTGTTTTTCTACTATGTTTTTACATTTCAGTTTTGTGTAAGTTTCCTCTGACTGGCTACCATGCCATGTTGCCTGTGTTTGCAGTATATTAACTTTGTCATACTACCTGTACTTTAAAAGGTGCACAAGTGATTATTATGTGAACATTGTTTTGGTATTATTTAGTTTTCAAGGTGATTGGGATTGAAGAATCTGCATTTGTAGAGAAAACAAATCTGAGAGTAGGAAGAATCAACCTGAACTTCAGTATAACAGACGTCCAGTGGCATCCATTTGAAGGTGATAAATGTTTTAGCAGGATCTCATTAGCAGCTGATCCTATTTCTTCCTAGTTTACATGAAGTTAAATCTGTTTAACACAGTTAACAACGCGGAGCGAGGGTGTGGTCAGCGGTCAGTTATCTGGCTCAAGCGCAGTCAGCCTTGTTTGAATCACCTTTATGTGCTAAGTAAAACTTTTTCCTGGCGGCCACTCTCTTTGTTTAGCCTTTGGATCATTATTTTACTCCCATTCCTCCCCCCCTTTATTCTTCCACTGATAAATCAGTGTGACAGGTGCCTGGCTCGATTGGTGTGGGGGCTCACGGCTTGAGGGTGCAGGTTTGCCAGCCATGGGGGCGTAACTCTTTCTAGGGGCTGGCTGTGCCAAAAGTGGAAGCCCCTTGACATCCCTGGCACCCATCTCCACTAAGCGATGCAGTTGTTAAATATTCTTTTCTCCCAGCTTCCTTTCTTGCTTGTCCTAATTCCCTTTCTTTCTATACTCCCAGCTGCCAGCTCCCATTCTCCTAGTTAATCCCCTCTTCGCCCAGTAACATGCTGCTTATCTTCTTATTTCATCTCTCCTTGTATGGTCCTCTTGTTAACACTTTCAGTCACAATATTCACATACAAATTACTGACCTCCAATACTGATCTCCTTATTCCCTGGAAAAATGTTTGAGAGAAATATTTGTGTAAAGATAAAACATTATTTTTCCCTTTGGCGATCATTTTAGCACTGATGAAAAGACAAGCAGGAGTGTATCATGCCTCGAGTGTTTTAATGCAAAAATACACACCTGCGAGTTTTTTAAACAGTACTAAAATGATCGCCAAAGGGAAAATGTTTGATCTTTAAACAAAGGAATAATAAGGAATAATAAAACATCTATTTTAAAACAAAATTGTTAAATTTGTCCAATTATCTTGATCTGGAAAAGAAAACAATTAGAACAAAAGAAAAAGGACACTTGTTTAATATTACATGACGCTGTTACACTGCTGACCACATAGTCTGCTACACAGCCGTTTTTAGTGTCGTCACGCAACGCTCCTCCCCACTAACGGCTGCTGAAAACCGAACTACATTCCTTTCCCTTTGTGTTTGTGGTCTAACGAACAAACCAATCATGTACAAGAAATTTGAAAATACGTGAGCCGCTGGGCGCTAGGAAGCGATCACGCTTCTCAGTTTTCGACAAATCAATCAATCGTCGCTGAATTTAGACGGGCTCTGTGTTTTCAAGCAACGAAAAGGTTAATTTGCGAAAAAGTTTGTTTTAAGCAGTCAAGAAAGTTTCAAGTGAAAAAAAGGTTTGATAGGCCTAGAAAACTTTTACCAGGATCGGTTGGTTCTTCATTTAACGTGCATATGTGCTGATATGTAGTGAAGAATTTAATGTACCGGATGTGCTCATTGTGTTCTGTGAAGACTAAACTCTCAAGGGTACTGATTCAAAAAGCAATCTTATAAATTATCGATGAGCGATTTCCCGAAACTATACCTGGCAACTTCATGAGCACATCCATGTTGTGCATCGCAATTTTCTCGACTTGCTTGCTGTTGCTGCTTATCTCCTAAATTTTGAATAGGACTCGACTACGACAACACTGTAGTTACACGTGACAATTTTGATTATTCTGTCATTCACACATGGGGCAACGATAAAAGCAAAGCTGTGATTGGAGGAGTCACAGTACCGCAAAGGTGGCGCGAACACCTTCCAGAATGGGAGCTGAGTTATAATTGGCTAATCATGGGAAAGAAATGTAGTTCAGTTTTCAGCAGCCGTTAGTGGGGAGGAGCATTGCGTGACGACACTAAAAACGGCTGTGTAGCAGACTACTGACCACACTGCTTGTCTCTGAAATCAAAATGGCTGCCCAAGATACCGCAATCGAAGGTTTCAGATGTCTTGCAAGACTTTCTTTAGTGGTAAATCACCTTAAATAACATTAAGATTCAGAAATTGTTTCGTTAAAGTTAGAATTCATTGTTTACTTTACTTGAATTTAGCATTTTTTTTACAAATTATGCGATTTGAGGTCAATTGTGCAAAATCGCACCATCACGTAATATCAGATGGCCTGATTATTAATGAGTTTTGAATTAATTTTTGTAATGGTTTTTTTACTTGATTATGTATGGATATTTTTAGGAGATAATTAATGTTGGTCACCCTTGGGACTAATAAGGGGTGTCACATATTTGTAACATATTCGTGTATAATAATATAGGAAGAGTAATATAAATTTAGTTCCAATATTTTTTTATATTAGCACTGAAGCACACGTACCATCTCCACGGTATGGCCATTACCTTGCACATATGCACACTACCATAATCCAGCAGTGGCAGCCATGGACAGCTGTTTCGCCCTTTTTGGGGCTCATCAGCATCACATTGCCGTCAGGTCTATGAACAGGTGAACCAGTGTGTCAAAACCCTTTACAACTACGACTTGTCTATGGTGAAGCTCGGCAGTTACCGCCGGGGTCGATGACCTTTCGCCTAGGCCTTTGCCATGCTGATGAGTCCTTAGCTAATGAGGAGGAAACAGCTGTCCATAGCTGCCACTACCGAGGTGATATGGTTGTGCGTATGTATATATAAGGTACTGGCCATGTACATGTGCTTCAGTTCTTAAATTGATATTGTTTTTAAATTCAGTTACTTTGGTATGGCTCATGATCATAACTAACTAGAAATTTCTATTTCAAATTTAAATGATTTAATTATTTTGGCAGATCATCTCTTGGCTACTGCAGCTGGAAATGGAGCTATTGTTCTTTGGAATTTAAACAAAATCACAAAACAGAAACAAGGTAAAGATCACATCTCGAGGGAAGTTCCAGGGTGTTCTTTAAATGTCTGGTTTTATTTCCTTTTTATAGGTGTGCTAAGTTTATTAGAAACTTCCAATGGCGAGAGGGGGCTCATCCAGATCTGAAGTCTAGTTTTTACCTTCCTTATCATCATCATCATCATCATCATCATCATCATCATCATCATCATCATCATCGCCACCACCATCATCATCAGCATCATCAGCATCATCAGCGTTATTATCTGTTCCTGGGCACCTTGAATAAATACTAAAAAACAATATTCCCTTAATAGCCTCTGTCCCACCAAAGAGCTCCCCCGACCTGTAGTTCTTTTTCTTCTGTGCATCTCCATGACTACCTTGGTCTACCTCTCTTTTTTCTTGTTTTTTTTTTGCCATAAAAGTATTGGCCTATCTTTATTTCCTTTGTATTAGTCTTGAAAATTACTGTGTTCTACCCTTGCTAAGGATTGTAAACCATCAAGAGACATTTCATTATTAATTTTCTGTGTGTAATCAGTAGCAAGTGTAGTTATTGTCTTAGAGTGTGAAATCATTATCTAAATGAGGGCTTGAAATAGTTTTGCAGCTGGCATCGGTCAAGTTGCCTCAGACACAACCCATTTTAGCCAGACTGTTACAAAGTGTCCAGTTATCCAAGGATTTGAACATTACAAAGCCTTCTTTTGACCAGCCATTGTCCATTGAGTGGCTGTTATTTCAAGCCCACTAATCCCCTGTCAAATTACTCTTGAGGAAGTTCTGTTTACTTGTCCATGTGCACGGAGTTGAGGAGACATTCCTACTCCTTAGCTGAATATAATTATGAATGCACTCAAAGTCTCAGCCGTAACAGACATGGTAAGAATTTTTTATTGTCTTTCCTTTGTCAGAGTTGGTATTCACAGATCACAAGAGAACAGTCAACAGGATTCAATTTCACCCAGTTGAGAAGGATATACTACTGAGTGGATCTCAAGATGGAACAGTAAAATTTTTTGTAAGACAAAAATGTTTTAAATTGATTATGAAAATAATGTGATCCTTCTGACCCTTATTAATGTTCTGGGCCCAGTTGTTCTAAGGCCAGCTAAGGCTATCCATTAAATTTCAATCCAAGTTTCTTTTCTTCCAAAGCATTTCTCCGACAATTTTCTCTATTCTATTTAGAGCACCCTCTCCAAAAAATTGTAGGCAAGGAGAATTAACTGAATTTGCCTTCTAAGCTTTCATATCTTAATTCACATTTCAGACAATCCAGGATTATCTTAACCCAGCTTTGAACAACCCGGCCCTAAAATCATGTTATTGGTTTAACTTAATCAAGTTTTTATGAGTGATATAATCTGTAAATGTTTCATTGTTTTTATTCACTTCAAAGGTAAGCCATCAATTAATTCTTTTTCATCACGTGAATGCTGAGCTATGTTTCTTGAAACAGATGTCCAACCACCTCTTGTAAAACCAACAAGACCACTTTTTGAGGCATCAGTTTTCAGCACTGTCAACCCACCAGGTCTTAAAATATTGAGAATCGATAGGGAAGGGGTGATATAGCAAAATACTCGTTGACTCCATTGTCATGAATTTGTGATGTGTTACCTGACTGGTTTACTTCCCACCAATCATATTATTGGGTATATTGCAATGGCATAATATACCATACCGGAGTTTATGAGGAAACGTTCGATGTTAACAGTGAAATACAAAATGTAGCTCAAACAATGAAAAATATTTTAAAATTTACTTCAGTGATTATACGGGAGATTTCATATTCTAATCTGACCCGGGAGATACGGTCCAAACTCTGGAGTCTCCCCGATTATCCGGGAGACTTGACAACACTGAGTTTTACATTTTTTTTTCAATTAAAAAATGTGTACAGTATAAGACTTGAGTTGAGACCTGAGTCGAGACTATGAGAACCATTATTAGCAACCTGACTTGTTGAAACCACAATTTGTAAACAACAATTACAGCTATCTATTTATTCTTCACATATTGTTCCAGGATTTACGAAAACAGAATGTTGCCTCAACATTTCATGGAAAATCAGATATCATACGCGATGTTCAGGTACAATTAGGATAAAATTCAATTGGGTCAGAATTACGGGATTGAAGAACCCTATTGGGGACTCTCACAATCCAAAGGCTAGACAAAGCGAGTGACCACCATGAAAGCGTTGTACGTAGTACGTCAGGAGCTGATGCAAGCAATTCTGACTGCGCTTGCACCACCACACTGACTGCTGACCGACAATACGAGTCCGTGCTCTTTGTAGTTAATCGCGTTAAATTTCATTTAACTTCATTTTAAGAGTGAAAGGCTGACTTTCTGTCTTTTAATGGGGCTGTCTAGCAGTATGGGCTTCACACAGGTTACCAATTCACTGCTGAGTTTTTACAATAACTGAACAATTTCTTGTGTGGTGATTGATCGAGAGTTATGTTATGAGAGTTCATGTGCAGACCATGGTATGGATGTGATGATTGCGTAAGTTGTTTGTATTTATCTCTCCAGTGTGATTTTCCCTAGAAACTGGAAGCCAAAAACTGTCAATGGTATTGAAAAAAAAAAAGACAGCAAATTTCCATATGTTCGTGGGGCTAGCTTCGACTCTAATGACTTTGAAAATTTCCAAAGTTTTATCAAATGAGGCCAGGAGGTAGCTAGCAGCCTAGATTAAAACAGTTGGTAAATTAAAGTGCAGACGACATGGCTTTATTTCATTTTTTTAACAGTTTAATCCGTTTGATGGACTAACATTTGCCACAGCATGTGAAAACGGAAATATTCAGGTAACGATTTGTATGTAAAGGGGCTAATACATTGTAAGGGTTGGTAAAGGGTTGAACACACCCAGAGTCAGTCGTTGTCCATTTTCAACTTTTGACTCTGTTGCCAAAATCCTCAAATGTAAATATTCAAAGGAAATTTATGCGACTTTACGCTGCACACAGTTTGTTTGAAAAGTGATCCTCTTCTTGAAATTTTTTTGGAGGGGATACACGTGTGAGTTGTAAGGCTGTTGTATCTTCCTTTACAATAAGTTAGGTAATTTATCATTTAAATTAATTAAGTCAGTTTTACCACCGTAAAGAGATTGAAGTGCTAGCGTAGCCTGAGAAAACAGCGGATATTTTGCGACACCGCCACTGGCTTCCCCGCAAAATAATCACCCTTGTTTTTCATGTTACCTTGTTCCCACGAATAGCATTGCTCCACCATTTGATGTATAAACCATACACAACACACAGTCCCTTGATTTGCTCTGGCAAGGGCTAACGCTACCGTGAGAAAACAGCCGACATTTTACGACGCCACCACTGACTTCCCACGAAATGATGTCTGAGAAACGAGCGAAGAAATTCCATACTGATGACGTGTCACTACCCAGATCTGGGTAGCGCTTCTGATTGGCTGAAATTTGCGTCAACCAATCAGAAGCACAAACAATAGCCAGATCTGGGTAGTGACACGTCATCAGTATGGAATTTCTGCGCTCGTTTCTCAGACGTCATTTCGCGGGAAGTCAGTGGTGGCGTCGTAAAATGTCGGCTGTTTTCTCACGGTAGCGTTAGCCCTTGCCAGAGCAAATCAAGGGACTGTGTGTTGTGTATGGTTTATACATCAAATGGTGGAGCAATGCTATTCGTGGGAACAAGGTAACATGAAAAACAAGAGTGATTAAGTTGATTGAGAGGGGATTTGAAAAGCGCCAATGTGAAGAGAACGGTTTTGTTCGAGATTTTCTTCGCGTTTTTTTGTGTTGCCTTGGTTTAGGAAGAGATGTTAGCCTACGAAGCAGGCGCTTGCAAGTAATATGCAAGAAAGAACACCCCAGGGGAGAGGGAGCGCATTCCCGAGAGGCCCACGAAAATCTTTCCCCTTGTGTGTCCTCCTCGCGCGCCCTGTTTTTCTTGCGCCCATTACTTTAAGCGCCTGCTATGTAGGCTAAAGAGATGTAGATTGCTAAAATTTGGCAAGAATAATTCGAAGGGATGAAATGGCGCATGACTGATTCAGCCTTGTTCCTAGGGTCCTCTGGTTTCCAAATTGGGAGCTATAGAAAGGAAGACGGCGATGGCAACAAGAACCTCAGAAAGCAATATGTTTAGATTGGCAAAACAACAAGTTTTCATGTGTATCACTCTTTTTTTGTACATTTCTTTGCCATCACTGCACGACCTGGATGTGAAAATGCCTAATTTCATGTTTTATGGAGGACGTAAACAAGCGACGACAAATTTTTCTTTCTCTCCTAAACTTGAGTGAGGTCCCCAGGAACTCAATTCCAGGGAAATTCGCCGACAATTGACATTTTCAGCGATTTGGAATAAACACGACAAAGTTTGAAAAACGCGATTTCATTTTAAGAGTAACGTTTTTGCTGCCGTCACTGTCGTTGATGCCAAAGCTCGCTAATAATTATAACGGCGGCAGGAGTGAAGACCCTGTCACACAGCCGAACCACGTGACTAATTTTTCTTCTGACGCCATGTTGAAAAGTGAGAAGCCCCTGGGGACAAGGTTGCGACTGACTTGTGGTGCATTTTTTCCATCCTTTTTATTGTAGTTATGGGATAACCGTCAGACCAGCTCTCCTTTCATCCAACAAGTTGGACACAATGGACCTGCATTTGCTATTGATTGGCATCCAGAAGAGAAGAACTGGGTAGCTTCTGCAGGAAGAGACAAACTTATTAAGGTAGCATGGCAATGTTTTTGTTTGTTTTTGTTGTTGTTGTTGTTGTTGTTTTTAATGCTTTAGGGAATAAAAATTTCACTAGAGGTAAATTTGGTTGGGTACCGATTCTTTGCGTTTCATGCCTGTGAAGAAATTTTTTGCAAATTTGGGATTTCTGTCCCGGGGGTCACTCAAAAAGTTCTACACAGGTAGACTCCGCCCGAGCTCCAACCCCATACCCTTTTATGTATCATTTAAGGACAGAAAAGGTACTCTCTCGTATACCTGACATTGACAAATTTGTGCCCTTTCATAGACCTACAATCAGGGGCAAAAGTAGTTGACTCACTTGTTTAAAACGGATGCTTTTATCAAACATTTAATTCATTTATTATTTCATTCCTTTTAAATGCCGTAAATACCCTCACCCCCCGGATCAAGCCTTTTAGGTCCTTTCGCAGTCCACAGCGACAGATTTTCCTACCCTTTCATTTACTTCAAACTAGTGAAATCCATATACCTAAAGCCTAAAAAAGGTACCCCTTTCGGGCGGAGCCTCCCCGTATAGGCCATTATAGGGAGTACCCCCCAAGTATTTCGGCGGCTGAACCATCCCTGAGGAAAGTGAGGAACTACGAGTAGTCTAAGTCCATGGCTTGCACAGTGAACTCTTGTTCCGACACGATCCATCCAATCCCAAGCGCCAACCTTGCCTACGGCTGTTGTTGCCTTTACTGAATCAACACTCATTATTGATAACCTAATTGCTTCGTTATACTGCAGGTTTGGGATATTTACGCTAAGCCTAGTCTTCTCAATACTATTCAAACGATATCTGCAGTGGCTTGTATCAAGTGGAGGCCACAAAGAAAATTCCAGATTGCAAGGTAGGGCTATGACTTCATTTCCTACTGTTTACTGGCACCATCACCGGTTGGACAGAATATCAAGAGGTTGTCCCTTTGATAACAGTCCCCTCCCCCCTACAGATCAACCACCCTAGACCACAGACAGCACAGTAGTAGTATAAGAGGGATGTTTGGATCAATTGAAGTTTCTGGGAAACTGCCCACCTACCCCTCCCCTAACCCAACATTTGGCCCTATGTGAGAAGTAAGTGTTAATGTTGACTTAGGGGAGGGGTAGGTGGGCAGTTACCCAGAAACCTGAATTGTTCGGGATCGGGGATTCATTAACGCCGATGACATCATAGCCTTTTGTCTTTATCTCATAGACAAAATGCGGTGGAATCTCATTCTTTCTAATACAATAGAAACAATAGACTCACTCAACCTTGACCGGTTTAACCTGTTTGTCGTGTTCTAGTTTTATCGCCATTAATATATTCCCCCGCAAGATAATGAGATTCCCCCGCTTAAAAGGGAGTAAAACATCTCTACCATACTACTAACTGACTGCCCCACACAGTACGTTAGTGAGTCACGCCACAGTTAATTAAAGTGGAATGGTTGGGAAACCCCTTGTTGTAGGTTTTTGTTAGCTTTTTTGGACCTGACTGTGCACAACGTTCAATAGCATTCCTATCATTTTGAACTTACTGACCAATAGAAACATTGCTTTAATTTATTCAGTCACCATTTGGGAACATAAAACAAAGGATTGACGTTGGCCTAGGGGAGGGGTAAGTGGGCAGTTTACCAGAAAAGTATGATGATCCTCGTGGGATCCTTTCAGTCCCAATATCCACATCAAACTTCTCCAGACTGTTCTCCATTTATTTTCGTAAAGAGAAGGTTGAGAGAATTTGATAAAAGAAAAAGCATTTTTCCCATGGCGGTCATTCTGTTAATTCTCCTAACTATTTCTATTGATGGTGTATTGATGTTGTTTGGGAGAAAATTGATGTTGGTCACTCCTGTTTCCTTTCAGTTGCTCTCTTCTTGTTGATTTTGATATCCATGTCTGGGACATCAGAAGACCTTACATACCTTATGCGTCTTTTAGCGAACATAAAGATGTCGTTACAGGTAATGCACAAAAAAGATTATGCCTCTTTGCGTTAAATAATTTCCTTCCATCTTTGAATCTGTTAGACTTGAACAGATGTATCTTTCTTTATTGTAAAACCATTATAACACGTGTATCACACATGGACTAAACTAAATATCACGTGACAATGACGTCACAGTTGTTGTAGCTCTAAATCGAATCGCAGCACTTATCAGCATTTTATTTAGAAATGCCTGACGCTGCCTGTACTCTGGGTGCTTGTCTTTCTTTTTTGCGAAGTTTCACAAAAATCTATAAGAGGACTGACTTTGGAATATTTACACAAATTTGCGCTTACGTTAGACAACGTAAAAAGTGTTCAATGGACACGAAATTCTGGGATTGTATAGTACACTGATCAATTGCAGCACTTAGATTTTTGAAAGAAAATCCATTGAAGAATTTTGGTTTAATCGCTGTCTTCGTGAAAGTAGCCTTTGAAGTTACAAAAAGAGCTCAGCATTGCGTTAATATGCCGATGAGGGCTGCAAGTCGATCCAGAGCTAAAACTGTTGTGACGTCATTTTCACGTGATCTTTATTCCGATCGCCCAAAAAATAATATCATAAAAAAGTTTAGTGTATGTGTAATACATGTGTTACAATGGTTTCACAGTAGGATACAAAGGATTCAAAGATGGAAGGTGTACCTACAAAACTACTGGGTCGAGCCACCTTAAATGAATGTTTAACTGTGACAATAGACCGATCGAAACGCACCAATGACATTACGAGTCTTCATGGCCAATAACATCACGGCTTAACTGGCAGACGACCAATAACATTGGGACTTAATTGACCAATCAGATCAATAACCAGAGTTTAATACCATCAACTGACGAGATACAACTCACTTTGACTCTGAAGATGACTACCGCACCGGTTGTCGAAACGTCAGTCACTGTCAACAACAGTCCTATTCATGACTATGTTCACCCGGACGATTACTCAACCTACTTCTGAAATGACTCCTGGCTTCACACCTTTCACAGATGAACGTGAAATTAATTGTAAATGACAAAATTGCATGTCTCCCACCAAGCATTACGCCAAACGTTACAAAAAAAAAAACTAAAATGAACTTTCAAAAACTGTCAGGCTAACAAGTTTTTTAAAACCCCTATTGCAATTCGTTTCAATCTTCAAATTTGTTCAACCGTGCCTCCTTTTATATTTGCTGTGTTTATTATACATTCTTTCCATGTTTTGAGCAGTTAATTTCATGTTCCGCTCAGTTTGTTTTCAGTTCTCACTGTTAGCCTGTCCCAGGCTCCGAGATAGTCGGGCCCGCGGAATTGAGAAAGCGCGAACACGAAGAAAAACGGGAGGAAACTGGGGAGAGGGGGGCGGCTTCCTTTTCACTTTTTCCCGCCCCGCCCCCATTTTCGCGCACCCTACACTTTCGCGTCTTCCCCACTCTTTCGCGCCTTCTCCACTAACTGAGAGCCTGGAACAGGCGATTCCGACTGTTTGAATTTTGATACATTTCGTGACCCTGCTCCTTTAAATAGTAGCACTGAGTAACTCAGAAATGTTTGGTTTTTTACTAACCACACAAGCACAAGTACAAGAATCTGGTGTCATATAAAAACGAACGCTGACGCAAACTAGAGAAAATACGGAAGGAAAATTTTGTTTCTTGTGCGTATGCTTGGGAGTAAGACATTTTATCGTAAAGTAAGAAGGACTCTAATGCCCACGCTGGTACTTGTGTTACCTGTGAAAATCAGGCTTGTCGTCATGTATAATGCTGGCGTGCGCCGGGGAAGTTAAGATTTTGTAAGACGACAAGCCTAGTTTTCGTTTCTATGGTCGATAACAGTATTGCTAACTTTATACAGAGCTTCGTATCTGATAGAACAATTTCTCATTTTCATCTCATTCAATACAAAATTGTTATCGATTTGTTTTTTACAATAAAATTGACTGTGTTGAAGCTCCATCTCCGTTGACGTTCCTCGGAAAATCGCGGCGTCAAAGAGAAAATCAAATTGCACTACCATCATGTTATTTCCATGATTCCCACTCTCATCGACCATGCTTTTTCTCGACCAATCAGGGGCCGACCTGCACCTATTCCAAACAAGGTTTGTGATTGGCTGGGAAAACAATAGGGATGGTGACAAAACAATGCCCCTTTCCCTGAAAACAATAGGTAGTGCAGGTTATAGGCGAATCTTGGGTGACGTCATTGTTTACATTTTTCCTCATTAGCATACGACTTAACTCATAGAAGTCGTGACCGTATATATATCAACTAAATGCAAAAATTGAACGAGCTGATTAAGTTGAGCAATTTGTGCGATTTTCAGCTCTTTGCAAGCAATATTGAAGGAAATATCAGCCGTCAAAAACTGCGAAATTGCTGTGTGGCAAAAAAGTTAATGAGCCGTACATTCTCTGTAAAATTTAGATTTTTAGAAGCGAATTTCTCCGAAACCATTCGGTGTATTGGGCTCAAATTTTCAGAGAAAACTGAAACTATTATGCCCTTTGAATATTCAGACTTTTTACTGTATTAGCGTCACCAGATAGTGATAAGCATATGTTAATGAACCAAAAAGTGTAAACAAAGATTCGCCTATAGCCACCAATGAAACACTAAGAGGTTTGGGTGAGTGCAGGTCAATCACCAATCAGCGCGCGCAATAAATTGATTGTAAAATTCTTATTTTAGAAAATATTTGCCTGCATTTACTCAACAAAAGTAACTGAAATGTCTTACTTTTGTCAGGTATTCTTTGGCGACAGTACCTCCGTAGTAAAGACCCATTTGTGTTCTTGTCATGCGCAAAAGACTCCATGCTTTATCAACATGTATTCAGTGACGCTCAGCATCCAGCAGACCACGCCCCAAGGGTTGGACTGTCAATGAACGTCAATGGAGACATCAGTGTTGCGTGTTGTGACTCGTTACCAAAACGATTTCCGGTACAAAGCATAATACACACAAGACCGTGAGTTCCCTAGATACAGAAATACACCGTTAATAGATACACGGTCTTTGGGGAACAAGGGATGGCGCAGTGGTGAGAGCAATCGTCACTCACCAATTTGTTTTTTTTGCTCGAAAAGTTACAAAAACGGGCCCAGGGCCCGGAAGGGGCCAGAAGAAGATATGCAGAAGGGCCCCCAAAAAATCCAGAATGGTCCCAGACCTTTTACCAAAATTTTGAGTACAGGGAGGTGAAACAATCGACATTGACCTAAAAGGGCAATTTTAAGGTCAACCATGAGAGTCGGTCGGGGTGATGTCGCATTGCACTGTGGGATTGTTGCGGTTACGCTATCGCTGCTCTTATTGTTACAAAGTTGCAAAGGAAACTGGGTCAAACTTCGTTTCCCAGAAAAAGTCCCGTGGTGCAGCCCGACACAACTCCGACCCAGTCCCAAACCCAACTTAAAAATGACCAATACTTTGTCCCTAGTCCCTAGTCCGGCATCTACCGCGGTCAAACGTCTATTAAGGCGTCTTCTTGTTCTGTTTGGCTGGGATTTCATTCAGCAGTAAGTGGATTGGAGACGTGAGCAAAGACGTATAAAATACTTAGTCAACCTAACTATCTTCTCATTTTCCTCAAAATATTGAGCATCTTTTCGGTAAAAACGCTTCACGCCCGAGTAAAATTATGCTGGTAAATAGCGCCCACAGTGACACAATTTTCAGTTTCAGTAACTAGAACTGTTGTACTAAACTGTCAAAACGTTATCTTAGTCTTTCAAAAGTGAAAGTAACAACCTTCGCGTTGCAGTACTTTGCTTAGCTCTTGCAAATTTTTCTCGTTTGAGCAGAAGTCCGGCCATGCCTTATATAACCAACTAGTTTGCCTTCTGGCAGTCACGTTACCGTATTTCCTTGAATAATAGCCAGGAGCGATTATTATTTTTTCGCACACAAAGGGGACGATTATTCGAGGGACGGCGGTTATTTTAAATATTCCCGTTTGGGGTGGGAGGGCGATTATTCGATGGAAGCGATGAATTGAGGGACCGCTATTATTTGAGGAAATACACTAGTATGTTGGATGTGGATTGTTTGTAATTTTGTCAGTGGAGTGCCCACAAATTAGCTTCCAATATAGGAAAATCATTTCTATCACATTTCCAATCTGACGAATTCCGGTTTCTTTTTACAGGCGTGGTGGTAATACTACTGTTTTCTTACACAACAGTAGTCTGACATCACAGCGCAAGTTTCAAGACATTGCCGATAACATAACGGAAGTGAAAAGCAGGGTTGTTGTTCATCAAAATAAGGAGATTACAGTGAGTAATTACTAGGGACCCAAAGTCAAATCGTTTATACCTAGAGTTATAGGTAGTAGACGGACATGTTTTCAATGTAGCTATAAAGAAGGCGACCATGATTTCTCAGATAAGTTATTGGAGAGCTTAAATGGGGCTATGTTAGGCTTTTTGCGTCAATTGGATTTCAAAAATTGTCCGGTATTGCTCGAACTCTTTGCGGAAGACCATCCTAACACTACACTTTGGTAGTGTTATTAAGGAATTTAAGAAAAGGCGTTTTTAAGCTACTCACCTCAACCGGAAGTGGACTTTTTACATTCCTTATTAGCGGCCGGTTTTGCCAAATTTTTCAGCTAAATCGTCTCTACGAATGTAAAGAAACTAGGCAATACAAATTTTATGGCGTCAAGGCATATTAAGGATCAATTAAGGTTTCTGGGAAACTGCCCACCTACCCCTCCCCTAAGCCATCATTTTGCCCTAAGCAAGAAGTAAGTGTTAATGTTAGCTTAGGGGAGGGGTAGGTGGGCAATTTCCCCAGACACCTAAATTGATCCCATATTAAAAGGGAAAAGTCCTCACTTCCGGTTGACGTGCGTCTCTCAAAAACACCTCGTGTTTCGAAATAGTCAGAATCATATTTTTTATACATTTGCTCCTTTAGAAACGAGAAAGAAACTGGACCGAGTTGACTTTTGCAAGGCTCGCTGGGATCGTTACTGGGGACGCGCTGGTCAGCTATTGGACAATTTTTTTGTTGTCCCTGGTAACAGCCCCAGAAGTCTTTGCGAAAGTAAACTCGGTCCAGTTTCCTTCTGGTTTCTAAAGTGGCGAATTGTTAAGTACCCTTTTTTTCTGGGATCATTACTGGAGAAGAGTCGGTTAGCTATTGGTCAATAATTTCGTTGTCCCTAGTAACAGCCCCAGAAGTCTTTGTGAAAGTAAACGTGGCCCAGTCTCCTTGTTTCCAAAGTGGCGAATCGCTGATTATAGTCAGACAAAGATATTTTCATACACGGGTTTGTTGTCCTTTTCCTTTTGCAGAAGAAGGATTGGTTTGGCCTCCTCGCTCAGAGCTATCAGCTGAGTGGACGGTCATACTCTGATCTGTGCGAGTACAACTGCCACGTAAGGGACAGTTTTCTTTCTCTTTGCTTTCTTCATAAAACCTCAACGGCCTTACAGGTCTTGAAACTTTTTTTACTAGGTATTATTATCATTATTATTACCATTCTCAGAGTGACGCCATTAGTGCGAAACTCTTTTTTTTACTTGTAACATATTTTTATATGGTACTGTTCTTTTTAATGACGTATTGTTGGTTTTCACATGACGTCACTAAATTTCAAACTAAAAAACTATCGATCCTACCGAGATTTTACTTTCACGATGTATTAGAGCAGCTGAAAACTAATTTTCATACAAATTTCCGCTTCAAAAAGGTTCTTGGTTTTGTGATACAGTATGTTTGAATTTCTAAGCTTTTGCGTGACGGGGCATTTACATCATGGCCAAGAGAGCTGTCGTGTAGGTTAAAAAAATGACTTATTTCAGGAAATTTTGCTATCTAAACAGTTCATGTATTAGAAAAAGAATTACTTTAATGTTTATGAGTTTCTCGAAGCATAAATTCACGCTTTTGTAGCAAAACTCGGTAACAGCTGTTTCTTTTGGTTGCCATCCGCCATGTTGGAGCTCATCCAGGTGAGCACCAGCATGGCGTCTCCATACAAATCTCTACAAGTTTGGGTAAAACATTTCTTCGGATATCTCGTAGACGAAATATTCTTCTGCCCTGAATCTTGGCGAGGGTCTTTGTGTATGTACCTCCTTTCATTTCCCACATTCTGGACTTAATCTGTTGAACGGTTTTGATTTTTATTTTGATCCATTTTGAATGGCGTGACACTGAAAACCAGCAATTGTTTTTTTTTCTTGTATTTATAGAACATTCTTATTCTGTTGTCGTTTGTCTTGATAATGACGTCCGAGAAAGTCGAAACATCGTCATATTTTTTAACGTTTTTTATAATTTCTTAAATGGTTTTTTAGCAACATTTTTCGCATTTTTTAGAGCCAAAATTTTCGACTATCATTATTATTATTATTATTATTATTATTATCATCATCATTAGATTAGATTCTGGGAAACAACCAACCTACCCCTTGCAAACTCAACGTAAACACCGATGTCTCACTTAGGGCAAAACGTTGGATTAAGGGAGAGGTAGGAGGGCAGTTTCGCAGATTTTTATATTGATCCGAAATACCCTCTAGGTTGCTGCTAAGCTTATGATGCAGGAGCATGCGCAGACGTGGTCAGTCTTGAAAACTCTCTACAGTAGCGTGGGAAGTCCTGGTTCAACACCTGCAACGCTGGCACCCAGTACTAAAAATCCTCTCGCGACCGGAAGTCATGGCAGTGGTGGGGGCCTGAGTACCGCCGGAAATATTGAACCTGCTACTAGTGAGTAAATACGCCGGTTTTGTTTTAAGTTTGAGTTTTTCAACCTGACTTTAGTGACACCGACGTTTAGGATGAGGTTGTGAGTGTTGACGCGTTTCCTGGAGAGGTTTTTTAAGTTATAATCCGCTTATATTAGGAACTGTGTAATAATTACCAAGCAAGGCTAGGCAGCTTTTGAAATGAGTGCAAAACGACTACAAGTTAACTTGATTAAATGAACCATCCTGTAACAATAACTAAAATAACTCCCCCCCCCCCCCCCCCGCTGTTAAAGCCGATCACTAAGGCACATTTCCACGTGCAACCAATTGGTCTCTTTTTCTTCTCTTTTCTCTCTTTCGCGCCGCTTCCAAAATCAAAAGCTATTAAAAATTCTACACTGAACTACTAAATACGTCTGTACTATGTAACGTAACGTAACGTAACGCCTAATGCAGGAGTTGTTTACCAGAAATGATGGTATTTATACAGTCGAACCCTGCTTACGGCCATCTCTCCACTACGGCCACCTCTCTACAACGGCCACTTTTTTCGGCGGACAGTCCATACATTCACTCTTGTTTAAACCTTTCCTGAACGGCCACCGCTTCACAACGGCCACTTTTTTTGGCGGACAGTCCATACATTGACTCTTGTTTAGACCTCTCTGCAACGGTCACTTTCTTCTGTCGCCAAGGTGGCTGTTGTGGGCAGGTTTAACTGTAGATGCTTACAAGTCACATTTCTCCTTTTAGCTGGAATTAGCAGTCAAAGTAATGTCCAGAGCACACCAAATCCAAAATCATCAGCTGAACCAACAGTGGCACACAGTACTGGGTTACAAGGAGACACTCAAGGTAAAAACAGTTGGTCCACAAAGCTCCATGCATTATTTTATTCTTGGTTTGCAACCACGTGACAAGCCGGGGGGGTAATCCCTATGATGGCTTATACGGGTAGGCTCCGCCCGGAAGGGGTATCTTCTTCAGGCTTCAGGTATATGAAAGGGTCAGGAACTTTACTTGTAGCAGTATATAAAAGGGTAGGGAAATCTGTCGTTTTAGTTTGTAAAAGGGCCCAAAAGGGCTAACAGATGAATTTTGTGGCTCTATTAAGTCGAGAAAACGTTTTTTAACGATTTATTCCTATTTAACAGACAGTGCATTTACAACAGTTAAAAGGGGTGCAAAGTTGTAAACAAGGTATGTGAAAGGGGCACAAATTGTCAATAGAAGGTGAAAATCGTATATAAAAGGGTAAGGGGTTGGACCTCGGGGTGGAGCCTCCCCGCATGAATATTTGTTGAGTACCCTCCGGGGTGACAAGGCGGCCATGTCGGGGATCAATACAATATTTTTTTCTCGAAGAATTCACATGAAAATATAATCTAGTTCTTAGAGGAGAGAAATGCTTTTGTTCTTGATCACCAACATGGCCACCGTGACGTCACCTGCAAGCCAGCAATTCTGCAAGCATGTTTTGACTTACGTTTTACCCATATTCACCGTTAAGTGTAAGGAAAAGTATTCTAGGAGTACATTAAAAGGTAATGTATGGGGTTATACAGACATCATACGATTTCAGTCGCTCGTTTCTCAGTTAAGAGTTTTAAGAAGCAATATCACAGTATAGCTCTTGTGTGTATTTGTTAGGATCTCTACCACTAATGAGTAAAAAGGTTGGAATCCTTCATAATTAATAAAGGTGCACTTCCGTAACGGAAGGGTCCATGTCCCCAGGGTAACCTGGATTCTATAGTAAGAAGCATGTGGGAAGGTGTGATAGTCTATCGCCGTGTTTCCTGTGTCGTTAATACTCCTGGATTAAGGTAGGTAGTGTAATGCAGAACAAGAAAACAACGCCATCAGTGTGAGGCGAGATTTCTTGTCAAAAGTCAAAACCAATGAGTTGGCCGGCGTCAAAGCACTTGAGGTCCGAGGAGCTAACTACTCTGTATGGCACCATGTGTTATACTAGTAATAACCAGAGTTTACGGACTGCGGGCGACAACGATCGAAGGTCAAAACGCTTTTGCTCCAGCACTGTGCTTTGCGTAAGTCTCAGCTGACAGATGGTGATGATGCTCCTCTTGTCGCCCGCAATAACAAATTTACTACTGGAACTTCCAACATTTCCCTCTCTTTTTTATTCTGGTTTCTTTAGATGATAACGATGATTCATCTTCATCAAGCAGTGAAGGACATTCCAAGTTTCCAAGCTTTGCCGGCGGAGGTATTAACAATGCGAAAAAACTGTCACTAAAAGAGGCGAAATGTTAATTCAAAGAGGAGAGACGTCAAATTGTTGTTGCTCGAAATATCTAAAAGTCGTAATTGAGTTGAGGGGAGAAAAGAAAAGAGAGGGAGCGCATTAAGTTTCTTCCGCCCAAAAAGGGGGGGGGACTTATTAGAGAGGGGGAGCTTATTTGAGGGGGGGGAATTTAATACAAGAAGAAATTTAATGCAGATCACCCCTCTCCCCTGCCCCCTAGTGGTGAAGGCCAGATACTCTGCAGGCTAGCCTGAGTTTGCTTTGGTGATATTTTTGCGGTCACTAAATATTCGTTCCAGTTCGTTTGATGAACACATTTCGTTGAATATACGAAACAAAACCCACAAGTGTGAAGATATGGCCAAAGTTACCAATTTACATCCATTTTTTTTGTTGGCCTAGGAGATTAAGGTTTTTTTGTGACGATTAAATCTGAATTTCGTGTTATTTGGTTTTCCATTCTATCTTGTACTGGTGTTTTCATAGATATTATGTTCAGTGAAGATCAGGATGACGTGCCGTTTTTCTATGATGACTCTTTCCGCCTCCAAGACGGTCCGAGGGACTGGACATTACCTAGCGTGAGTATTTGTGCATTCTGTGTTATCATTTTGAACTCGATATCAAGGAATTTAATAGGAGTTTAAGTCATTTTTAGTGTGAAAGATTTTTCAGTCGCCCCAAATACAGAGAACTTATAGCTCAACAATTACTGCTTATTATGCGAGGAGGATTACAGATTTAAAATTGGAAATTTCATCAGTGCGCGAAGCGCACGCTTTGAAATTAGAATTTCACGAGCAAACCAATCAGAACGCAGCATTGATAATAGACCACTAGTTGGATTTTACTAAAATAGCATTTCTCCCATTTTTCGCGTCAAAATCAAGCCATTCAAAGCCAAAGCGAGGCCAGAGTCTCGATCCCAAGTAAAATCCTCATTCTCAAGAATGGGTGAAAGCTAGAAAGCAAGGCGAGACGAGTGAGTCATCAATTATCGACATATTTATTTGCACTAAATTATTCCGAACTATAATTATATAACCGAAAGACCTCGTAAACTTATGGATAGCTCTCAATCTTCCTGAAATCCAGTGGACTATCAGTCTCTTGATATGATATAAAACCTGAACAATCGATATATCACTGCCAGTGTCACTCTGATGATCTCACAAATCCATTTAACAATCCTTGAATAACAAAACAACTTCAACAAAGAGTAGCTCATCACCAAACTGCAGTGGGGTACACAGTAAAACTTCTCTGATGCTAACCATGATTAGCCGTCCTTGGCACCTGTAATATGGAGCAAACCGAGATCAGATTTAAGACATACCGTATACAATTATTCCTCTCTGAGTCAATAGCCTATGAGGCCGAAGGCTGAATGGGCTATTGACTCATAGGCCATGAGGGCGAGAGGAATGATTGTTTTAGTGAAATCCAACTATTTGGTCAAAAATATTGAGGCAAAACAACTTTAGCTAGCAAAACGCGATTCAGCCGCCATTGTTTTGGTTTTCAAAGCCGGCGCTTTTCGCTACCAGTGGGCTATAACATATAGTCTAGTAGTAGCTCAACCAATCAGAACGCAGCATTGATAATAGACCACTAGTTGGATTTTACTAATATATCTTATTTCGGTTTGCTTGGGAAATATTAATTTCAATGCGTGCGCTTCGCGCACCGATGAAATTTCCAATTTCACTTCACAAACCTCAATAAGATATAATAGCTTATGTTTAATGTTCCTCAGCTATCCTTGCAATACGGTAGCTTGAAAAGAGTCCTGCCCTTTCTTATAACCAATCTCCCTTAAATAATGCCGTCTAAAAGTGGACTCCTTTTCTCACTTTGCCATCTCTTGACAAAAGAGTCCTTTGGCCTTGTTCTTAGAGGCGTATGTGCCTCGTGCTGAATGAGCACGAAACTCAGAGGTATCAACCCTAGTTTTTTTCATAAGTTTAACCAGTCACCCTGCAGTTGTGCCTGGTACTACGTCCTAATGGGGCTTTATATAGCTTAGCAGTAACTGATACTTATTAGAGCCTACACGCCAAAGCGTTCGAAGTAACAGGTAATGGTTGAGAAAACACACAGCAAAGGATCACCCTTAAATTCTGTTTGATGGGACTCTGTCTTTTTCTCCTAGACTCGGTAAGTTGTGCAAGCTCAAAAGCAATAGAGTTATCCTTAACAGACATGTATCTTAAATACCTAGCCGTAAGGTCTGAGGATCGACCTGCAGATGTAAGAGCTAGTGGCATGTTCAGCTTAACAGTCACCACCTCTACGTTGTGATTGGGGCCCACCTCAAAAGGGCTGATGAGAGTCTCTAGAACCTCGTCCACGATAGCTATCTCTGCGAAGAGTGGAACCGTGTTATCCTGAGGAACGAGGCTTCTGAGAAGAGCCTGATATGTGGTGGGAAGTCTCCTTTGTTGACTTCCGAATCTTGGTGGCCGTGCAAAGGGCCGTATAAAACTTTTACCAAACAGATTCTTTTAAGAACGGGAGGAGGATGATTCGTGCTTGTTCAGCAACTTTTTTGCTTTCTTCATATCATCTGTGAGACGACCTAATATGCCCAACCGGCGAGCATAAGTTAAACTCACGTTGGCCTGCCCCAGCAAAGTGACAGATTGCTCAACCAATTTCAGGCAAACAAACAAGTGCAGCCCATCCTCAGAGTCGCCAATACGTACATTTTCCAGGTTTAACCAGAATCTCCCCAGTGAACCCATGACATTGTTAATGCGGGTTTATGATTTTGACAATATGCCGTCACTTTCGCGGCCGTACGACCACAGGTAGCCCAAGCTCGAAATATGACCATCGGCGAGCATCGGCATTGTTGAAAGGATTTCAATAAAAACAGCTTACCTTACTTAAAATGTGTTCCACGGGCCGATTTATGGCCGTTTTATGTCAGTTTTATGGGTTTTTATGTAAAAAACCGTGTACATAAAACCCATAAAACGGCCATAAATCGTTTGGATTCGCTATGGTTTAGTTTCAACGAGCGAGACGAAACCATCTAGTGCGAAGCCATTTTTGAGAATGAGGAATTTTACTTGGGACCGAGGCTCTAGCCTCGTTTTGGCTTTGATTTTGGCGCAAAAGCTGGGAGAATACGCTATTATAACTTATGGAGGTTTGTGAAGTGAAATTAGAGCTCGGCCGAGTGCGAGTGATTCAGAGACTCGGCAGTGAAAATACCAGCTGGGTAGTGACTCGATTTTCAAATAATCAATTCATCATTAAAATCTATGAAGTATACTTGACCCGGCTTGACTATGAATCAATCTTTCTTTATTTTACAGGAAGCGTTCGAGCCTAGGGCAGCACTAGATGACAGGTAATTAAACTTGTGGAAATGGAGTTACATCTTTGACTATATCGTGCAAAACCCCCGCAATGTTTTTTTACCCGCCCGCTTCAAGTCAAAGTACTATTGACAACCACATGTCTCCTGCTCATCTAATGAGGAAACAAAACAGACTGCAATACCTCAGAAAGTGCATGAAAGTGTATGACATTTTCGTAGAAAATATTACTGTTTCTACTGGGTTTCTTGAATACCTGTAACTTGTTAGTGTAATAGAGTGTAGTATTCTAGGAGACAAGGCTAACATGTGAACAACTCAAATCGAGAAAATTATCTTTTAATTGAGTACAGTGGTTTAGCGTAGCAGGACAAAGCCATTAAATCGTACTACGTGTACGTGCAAATAAAACTTGTAAGACATAAACACGACACCGATACAACCCACCCAAAATAGAGTGGAGTTGTAGCCGTCGACAGCTGTTTCGCATTTATAGCGGCTCGTCAGGACGGCACACCAACAGACAGAACAAAGACGCTCTACTGAGAAAATACCCGCTCGCTTTGTTGTAAGCCCTAACATTGGACCACAACACCCACCGAATCACACCACATCACGTGTCTCCGCTAGTCCGGAAGGCAAAAGCCCAAGTGTCGCGTTGATGTCTCGCAAAGAAAATGTAAAGGATGGCCAAAACCAACCTTAGAAACAAGGACAAAGCCATGCAAAATGCACAGCATATCCGTCCTACAAAATAGATCTACGGCCCCAAATAATTAAATAATTTATAATAATTAATATTTAATTTCCCAGGCCAACTTCACCTTCACTTGATCAGGAACCAGACAGACCCGAGTCACCCACAAGGTTTGTTGAGCTCTTTTTTTTTCTTTTACCCTCGCCCAAGTATACGTATCTAGGAAACTGCTCACTTATCCCTCCCCTAACCCAGCACTAAGACTTACTTCTCGCTTAGGGCAAAATGTTAGCTTAGGGGAGGGGTTGGTGGGCAGTTTACCAGAAACGTATAATGATCGCCCCATGTAAGGTATTCCGGAATCCGGGAAATTTTTGCTCGTGGAATCCGGAATCCTTAGCTTCAAGTTTCCCCTGACAAGGAATCCAGAATTTACAGTGTAGAATCCAGAATCCAAGATTGTCTTGGATTGCCTAACGCAGAGCGACAAGTGAAAACAAAACTGTTGTTCACTACGACTCTTTTATTATCACTTCCTGGAGCTTTCCACAATGTTTCAGGGAGCGCTCTTTTAATGTCTCTGTCCTTTATTTTACAGCAATGTCGAGTCAGAATCATTAAGCGCCACAAATGTAAAATCCCTGTTAGATTCAAGCAGTGAACATCAAGGTGCTGATCCCACTTCGAACAAAACATTGGTAAGTACAACGCGATTGAACACAGGTTGTACATTTCAGCTCATTATTCTTTGTTACTACGCTCCTCAAGATTGATCACCGGTTGAGCAAGAACTTAACCTTGAGTGAAGTTGTTGTTGTTTTTTATTTAATCTCCTTTTGTCATCGGTTCGACCTGATTCCTTTTATGTGAATTTAGACACACCGCTACCCACTAGCTATACTCAGTACTTTAATAAAACTTGTTTGGATGGTTATTTATCTCATTCTATGCTAGCCTCTTCCTGAATGGGATTTCACGTCACTGGTTGTGGAAATGCTTCATCACTTAGCAAACCAGGTAAAGTATCGATTGTTCCCCTTTTCCCTCTAGCCTCTAGCTTCTAACCTCATCAGCCCTGTTTGTAATGCATGTTGGTAAAAGAAAGTGTTTGTTTTGAAGTTCCATCGCCAGTAAATCCCGTAAAATCAATTTGTAAAAGACGCTCTAACCAGGATGAGTTTGTGGCAGATTTTTTTAATCATATCTTGGGATTTAAAGTTCCTGGTAGATTTAGCAATTCTCATTAATTGACCTTCCCTTTTTTTTGGTCCAATAATGAATAGACAAATCTTCGTCACCAGGAAAGCCATCGCCATGTGTGTCACCACTATCTCCTTCACTTCCTCCACCACCATCTTTAACTACCACAGTTATCCCCATCGCTGTACACATCACTGACCACCATATTCACAGTCGCTACCACCACCACCAAAATCAATCCTTAATATATAGATTTAGCCAAGGCCAAAAGCGAAGCTCTCGTGGGAACGTTTAAGAAAGTTAAGTTTTCTGAACCTGTGATTACTTGAATACCACAACTGGTCAGCGGAGAACTTTGAAAAACATTGAGTTTTATACCTGAACCCGTAATACAGTTATGTAACACTGGTCAGCGGGTTCCCTATATTGATAGCTGTCAATTGATCATAGAATTGATGTCCAATATCAAGATAAACACAATTTGCATGTGCCTTAGACTTTAAAGCTAGTAAGATATTTCACATCTGCTACATGAAGGGGTGGACGAACGTACGGACGATTTTGTCAGAGGCAAAATTTCTTGGATGAATAGCGGAGCTTCGCTCTAACCACCATCATTCCCGTCAGCACCATCACCATTGCGATCGCCACTAACACCACTTCACTCACCATCCCAACATCAGCATCCCCTTCATTCCACCGATTGTATCACCATTGCCACCACCGCGTTATTGACCACTCCAGAAAATACCATAACATACCATAATGCTCTTTGTTTGTAACCGTCAAATTTTGCATAAGCATTGTTTTCAGTTTCTTTTGGGCCATTTTAACTCCCAAGAGAAACTGAAGACAATGCTTATGCAAAATTTTAGGGTGACAAACAAAGAGCATTATGGTATACTATGGTATTTTCTGGAGTGTTCAATTACCACCATCACTTTTACGATCCTTACTAAAACTTCTACAACACTATCGTGATCTTTCTTATAACCACTTCCATCTTTATCACCAACCATCGCCAACCATTTCTCATTTTCTTATCTTCACACCATTATTCCCAACTCCACCCACTACACTACACTCACCATCTCACCATCGCCACCTCCATCATTCCACCTGTCATCTCACCGTTGCCACCATCTCTTTTACGATCCTCACTCGTCCTTGTGTATAACCACCGCGATCCTCCCCATAACCACGACCATCCTTGTCACCAACCATTGCTACTACATTCCCATTTCCTTCACCATATTTCATGGTTGCCACAGGTCAAGAAATGGTCACGGAAAATAAAATTTCTTCAAGGTCAGGGAAAAGTCAGGGAATTTCACTTCGATTCAGGGAAAATTTAAAAGAAGTCTCTGAAACGAGTCAGGAAAAAGTGAAATTTTAAGAGTACATTTGTACATTTTACGGACCTGAATCGTGTTGTATTGTTAGAATATTTCTCATGAAATTGAACAATATGCTAATGTTGAGTTTTGAAAGAAATCAATCCTTTTTGCGCGTTATATTAAGGAACTATCGGTTCATGTACATTGCCCGTAACCTGCTGAAAGCATAAATAAATGGGTGGAGGGGATCAGGGTGTGAGGGGAGCATAGAGTCCATTATCAGGACTAATTTATGAAATTGTTAACTCAGTTCGACAGAAAAATTTTACATTTGTCAGGAAAACATCAGGAAATTTTAGAAACCTCTCGCTGTGGAAACCATGTATTTACCATCCTCATTAACCTCACCATTACCGTCGCCATTATCTCCACCTCCATTCCTACACTACACCCACCATCGCCACCTCCATTATTCCACTGGTCGTATCACCATTGCCACCACCACGTTCATCAATTTCGTCCATCACCACCTTGCGATCCTCACTAGTGCTTCTACATCACTATCATGTTCTTCCTCGTAAGTACTACCATCCTCATCACCAACCATTGCCAAACCATTCTCATTATCCTCACCATCATCACTTCCTCATCAGCCCCACTATCACCTATACCTAGAACTCCGGATTCCAGATTCCATAAGCCAATATTTCCGGGATTCCAGATTCTACAACCAAATTTTCGCGGGATTTCGGAAGACAGTCTTGGAGTCTGGATTCCAGGCCCTGGATTCCGGATTCCTAGTCAGTGGAACTTGGATTCCGGATCCCCATCGTTAGCGGGATTCCGGATTCCTTGAGCCCAGGATTCCAGATTCCATTAGCAACCATTTTTCTAATTCCAGATTCCACAAGTAAAAATTTCGCGGATTCCCCAGTCCAGATTATCTTACATGGGGCAAGCCATCGCTTTTACGATTGTCAATCCAACTTCACTAACTCAATTCTCCGAACATCACTGACATCATTAACCTTACCACTGTTATTAGAGACCTTTTGATTCTAACAAAAACTCATGAGGGGTTGAAACGGGTAACACTCATATGTTTGGTTTGTGTAATGCTCGTGAATATTCATTTTCAAAAGTACCAGCAAATTTTTCTGGAGTTGAATTCTTAAGACTGAATTAAAGTTCAGGAAAAGAAAGGGAAAGTCGCTGTCTTGTTTTTTTTTTTTTGCCTTCCACAAAATGTGAAATCATAGGCACTTGCATGTCGTAGTCTTGCAGTGATGGCAAAGAAATGAACAGAAAAGCGTGATGCACGTCCAAAGTTGTTGTTAAACCGGCTTTTTGAGGCCCGCAGCAAGGGTTTCCAAATATGGTACTTAGAAAAATGAATATTCACGAACATTGTACTCGAGTTACCCGTTTCCCCGTGTTTATGAGATTCCGATTCTAAGACGAGTACGACAACGAGTACGAGATTTTCTCAATGCTAAGTAGTGCCACGCGTGAGTCAGCGTCATTTTGGGGGGGGGGGGGGGGGGAACGTGGTAGCCTTGTCATTCTACCACGAGTTTTAGCGAGAGTGTCATAGTGACGCAAACAAGTTATCAAATGTTAGAAGTTTTATCATTCTTCGATCGGGAAAGGGGTTAACCTCCTCCAATAAAGATAGTAGTACTAACTTTTCTGGTGAAAAAAAGTGTAATGAAGTGTTCTGGGGTGTCCATTTTTTGACACTGCGAGAAAAAACTTTGAATCAAATCTCGTACTCGTAGTCGTTTTGGTCCTTGAATCTAAAGGTCTTTATGATGATGACCGTGGCCATCTATATATATTAGATGGCTACAATAGTACTTGCTCTGATTGGCTGCTAAGCGGGCAAGATTTTCTTGTATTGACCGGGCCTTACTTGTGTCCAAGGCATGTACGGTCTGTGTTTAACTTGATAGTGGACATTCACGTTATAGTCAATTAACAGCTGTTAAAAAAGAGTATACGGTGATCAGTGTCACATGACTGTATCGCGGGCTCAATTGTAAGTCAACTGCTGACCAGTAATTGGTTTTAATTGATCGCAGGCTCAGGTCCAAGATTTCTCATTGTCTAAGGAATTTCGATCGCATCGCCAAATTCATGTCGGTTCATTGAACGCGACTTCGAATGACCTCTTGCTCGCGGATGTTGAAAATTACTTCCGGTGTTTTTTTTTTTATTTTATTAATTTTAAGAATAACGCTAAAATGGCCATAAAATAAGTAACTTATGAACCTCGTCCGTTGGGTCATTACGTATACAGGAAAATCTCAGACCTCGGCCTTGATGTATTAACCGAGCGTTATCGAGGTCAATGCATCAAGGCCGAGGTCTGAGATTTCCCTGTAATAACCTCACTCTCGATTAATAAGTGGTATTTACTGAAGTATTTTGATGATGACAGGGTGACGTTCAAATGTGTGCTTCGGCGTTAATTGTTCTTGGGGATAAAATCCGTGACAAAATAGACGAACAAACTCAAGAACAGTGGCTTATGTCATACATTGGTAAGTACCATTTCGATTTATGTCAGAAGCTCCCAAACTGGCCAATAGGTTTGTAGATTTTTCTGTAGTTTTTGCAAATGACAGTAAAAGTAGGCGTGGAGTGTGGGGGGATATTGTCGTCTTAAGCTGTAAGTGGAGATTCGGTTATATGCAGTGTCCGTTGTCCTGGAATCGGTAAGGCACATTCTTTTTGTAATTTACTAATTGACAACGAGACAGTTTCTGAGAGTTCCTTGCGCCAAGCGAAAAAGGTGCCCTTCCTCCTTTCACAGATTGTACAAATACCCAAAATTCTCTATCTGCGAACTTTATTTGTAGTTGTCGATTTCATAATGTAGTCTCCTTCCGTGCTAGGAAGGGTTGTCTCACGACGAGGCAAAAATGAGAGGTAGGAGCTCGTCGTCGAGAGAGACCTCTGCTAGCAGGGAAATAGTTTCCACGCTAAACGTCATTTTCTTGTGACAACAGACCTACTAGGACGTCTTCAGCTGTGGTCAGTTGCGACACAGATCATCAAACTGTCCAGTCTACCTACTGTCAGGCGCTTGAACAAGGTAAAATTTTGAGTACTTGAAAACTTTTGACCCCGGAAATAAAATTTTCGATCTCTCATGAGCAGGTTTTTGTATTAGACATCTAGCCCTAGTTGTTCAAAAGATAGATCACGCTAGCTATCTAGTGGATTAATCTCTATCCAGTGGATAACGCAGTTACTTTCCCTAATACTTATCCGCTGGGTAGTGATTTATCCGATGGATAGCGCTATCAAGCGTTTGAACAACTGGGATCACGAATGGATAACTGTTTAAACCTATCAGATTCGCGCATACGCAGGGGAGCTACAACCTGTTGCAAAAATACTTAAAGCACTGTACCTTGTTTGGGCTTCAATGGCTGCTCCATGATCTTGTGCTGCAAGCCCCCCCCCCCCCTTCCTCCTCCTCTCCATGTCAAAGCTTCTAGAGACAACATTTTTTGCAACTGATTGTAGGAGCCACTTAACTAGTTAATATGTAAACTAATTTTTCTTCCGATCAGGCTTCTACGCATGTCTATACTGTGTGTGGTCGATGTTCCAAACCTCTGCCGGTGAATAAGTGTGGCTGGTACTGTGAGAGATGTCGTTCCCTAGTTCCACCTTGTTCTATATGGTAAGTAGATTTCTTTCAATCTACTAATTTAGGGCCGTTTTTTTAAAATGAAAAATATAAATTAATGATATGAACTCTAAAAATTGTAAATAAGTGTGTAGGAGTGGCGTTGTTACTTCAGGCGCCCATGAGTCGGAGCCAGCAACTTCCGTGTGCTTGTTTTACGGTGTTTTCACGGACCAGTTTGTTTTTAGAACGGTTTTAATTTCCACAAACCAGTCAGCAAAACCTACAGACCTAAAAATGATATTTTTTTGCCTTTTAATAACGTTCAGTTTTCCTTTTTTATATCTTATACTTCGAACGCGCCCGTAGACATGGTGGAGGTTCTATTTTCGCGGGAAAAAGTGCCCTAAAATGTGTCTAAAAATACACTGGTCCGTAGAAACGCCGTGACATAGGCCTAGTATTGGAGTAGCCTGCGTGGCAGGCGTTCGAAAGAGAAGGGGAAGGGAATTAGGGCGCGAGGCTACGCGCGAGGACTCCTTCCTCGCGCGCCCCTCGCGTTTCTCTCGCACCTAAGGGTTGCTATTTCTACTATTTCTAAAGTTGGGCCAGTTTTTTCAAGCGTTACTTCTATGGCTGCACTAACTTTTTCTCTTGTTTTAGTCATCTAATGGTAAAGGGGCCGAACGCTTGGTGCCAAGGCTGCGGTCATGGGGGACATCTTCTTCACATGCAAGAGTGGTTCACAAAATATATCTGGTGTCCCGCGGGTTGTGGACATATGTGCGAGTATACGTAACCAGAAGCAGCCATCAGACGAGGGTGGCGACCATGAGGAGTAGAAATAGGAAGTTTAAGATACCACGATGGCCACGGCCACGAAAGCGTCGCTTAAAAAGTGAATTCGCGTTCTTTCAATCTCTATCGCGATTATTCCAACTCGCTAACTTTGTCAAATGCAAGCGAAGTCTTCTGGAGCCGAATTCCAGGAACTGTATCCAGGTTCATAAAGAGAAAGAAAGTTTCGTCGTCGCTTGTTAATGTCCTCCATAAAAAGCGTGAAATTAGGCGATTTCACGTCGTAGTCCTGCAGAAATGTAGGAACGTGTGATGCACGTGTAGTGTTGTTGTTTTAGGGCCTATTCACATGGAGGTGGTGGACCCCAGATAGGTGAGGTAACATGTGGCGGGTCACCCCACCTATCATGTAAACGTGATCAAATTAAAATGAGAGGTTATATGGACAGGCGGGTTACCCCACCTAGCGGGTTACCTCGCCTTCTTGGGGTCCCCCACCTCCATGTAAACATGCCCTTACCTATTGACTATTAAGTTCGAATCCCCCATAACACACTGTTTGCCCCCCAAATTTTGCATAAGGTATGGTCTTCAAATACTCTTGGAAAAACGTAGTACTCCCAGGAGCATTTGAAAACAATGGTTTTTGCAAAATTTGAGGGGCAAACAGAGTGTATTATGGGGGATTTGAAAATAGAAAATTGCTTTTTGACGTTCTCGTTGTCTTAGAGAGGGAATGCATGTCAAAAGGGAGAGGACACCAATCATCGCTAAAATAAGAGAAATACAAAAATTATGAGATAGAATAAAATTATCGCCTCGATATTCGGTACAACACGATGTTGTAAACCCCACGAGAAAAACATTGCAAGGCCTTGTAAAGGATGGAATTAGGATGATAATTATTTTTTGAAGTATTATAATATATTTTAATTACCCTGCGAGCAGAGGTTTCTCTCTTGCATGGGTTTTAGCGTTCACGAAGTCATTCGCGTTTCTTGTCTGTCGCGTGACGTAAACAAACCAACTACGCGACAGACAAGACACGCGAATGACTTCGTAAACGCTAAAAGCCATACAAGAGACAGAAACCTCTGCTCGCAGGCTATATTTTAAGGAAACCCACTTGTCGTTCGTAAAGAAAGCTATTTTGTAAAATTTTGTAAATTTACATGCTAAGGGTTGTAATTGTCCCTAGCGCTAGGATCTTCCTAGTACTAGGATCTTTCTAGCTGAGAGGTAGGAAGATCCTAGCACTATGTAAACTGCTTTCGGTAAGAAGAATAAAAGAGTTCAAAGCAGGTTTTCCTAATGATATAACATTGGTCGTTTTGTGTTCGTTTGAGCTTAAATAGCCTTCAAAAAATTTTCTGGGGTCCTTTTTAATAGACCTTATTCACGGTACCCACCATCTTTACACGTACCTTAGGATTGATGGGATAAAAGCAATGTCACGTGGTATTTCAGGGGGCAAACAAAAGATAAAATTTGCGAATGCGAGAAATCGCGGTCGATTTCGTTTATTCTCTCAAAAAGAAACGACGATTTAATAGTCGTGCAAAATGTACGGTTTGAATTTGGACAAAATTAAGGTCATTATTGCTTGCTGTGAGGACATCTGCGGTCGCTACTGCATCCAAACAAGTAAAATGATCTTCTACCTTTAATTTGCCATTATCGTCTTTAACATAAAAACTTGTTCATTTTCTGTTGTCAAGAATAAACAAACTCCACCCCGATTTCTTGTATTGGAAAAATTTATCAGTTGTTTGCCCCCTGAGAAAACACGTAACGTCACTTTTATCCCGTCAGTCGTTAAGCGCGTGCAAAGATGGCGGGCATCGTGAATAAGGTCTATTCCAAGCAACCGATGAGTCCAAAGAACGGCTATAATCTCGTGCCCAAATCTCTTGTCGAAGAAGCTGACACAAGAGATCTGGGTACGAGATTTGAAGGACGAAACTACCGTCTAGCAGTGCTGCCCGGCTCCTGCGGTTGTGTTATAGCGGAGCTCCATGGCTAAGAAAATTTGGTTATGACGTCAGCGTACGACCTCCCATCCGTACGGACGCTGGGGGAGGGGGAAGGGGAGGGAGTCAGCCCGTCGGGGGAGGAGTATGTTATAGCTAAGGTGAAATTTGCATTTCAAGCATCCCGCTCGTTTCGGCAGTAAGTCACAAGACCGCCGAGCTTTTTCAGGTTTACGTTCAAATGTGACGTTATTTCCTGATAACTTGAGGCTGCAAAACGCTTCCTACGAAAAAGAAACAAAACAAAACTACTGCGAAAAAGAGAAAAGAGTCTCACCCGGAAGGAGTCGAACCCGAGACCTTCGACTTGTAAGGGCAACGCATTATCCAAGATTATTTGTCGCGTTCTCCTCACGTGGAACGCAATTAGGGTTAGGAAACTGAGTTAATCAGGTTCCATTTAAGTCATTATACTGGACAAACTGACCTGAAAGTTGATTAACTTAGTTTCCTAACGCTAATCAATAAAGTTCAGAGTCATTCAGTGGAGGGTCTTAGGCGTCTTTGCTTTCAAGACACCCCAAATGAGAGCAGGAAACAATGGTTGATGATGTTTTAGAGGAGGGTCTCAATGGGGCGTTAGCTTTGACGGTTGATACCGATAATTACACTTCACTGTAATAAATTGTAAATGTCTGTAATCAACTGTGACCGTTTATTTATTTATTTATTTATTCATTTACATTTGCCACATAGAATAAATATCGCAGAAAGAAAATGAAAAATAGATATATGTTATTACTAAGATTGCACAATTCACAGGGCAGGAAAAGCTACAAAAAAAAGTTCAAAATTAAATGTAATATTAAGTGACTTAACTTTTGTAATAGATAGAGTGGCGAGGAAGCCCAATAGAGGCTAAATAGCTTGTAGAAAATTAGGCTCCTCATACTTAATTATGATATAATGTCAGCTGCCATATCATGGTTTAACTGTTTGTGTGTAAGGAATAACAAAGCTTTGACGGTTGGCGGGTAATTTTTTCCAGTTTTACGGTTGACGGTTAAGTTTTGGAGCTTTCGACGGTTGACGGTTTATATTAAGTGGAAATTTAGTCCAAGAGTTAATGAAGTGTTTTGGAAGTTGCCAAGAGTCTTGGCCTTTCACTTATAACTTTTCGAAATATTTTCAGATATAAGCCCGTTGTAAGGTCTTGTAATGCCTTGAAAGAGTGTTTTTGAGAACATGAGGACTGTTTTTTCCAGCTTGGTGATTGTTCAGGAGGCAGAAGTCCTTGAAGATCAGCTACAATGGTGAGATTTGAAACAGTCCTTGAAACTGAGAAACGAGCGCAGATATTCCATACTAATGTCGCGTCACTACGCAGACCTGGGTAGTGCTTCTGATTGGTCGTGCCGCTCGTGAAATTTGCTTCAACCAATCAGAAGCACTACCCTGGGTAGTACACGTCATCAGTATGGAATTTCGGCGCTCGTTTCAATGCTGGTCATTTCGCGGGGAAACCAATACTGGCGTCGCGAAATGTCGGCTGTTTTCTCAAGTTGGCTATTACACAGTTACCCAAGAAAAAGATATCATATCTGGCAACAGGAACTGTACCGGTTGATTTCAAACGTTACAACCTAATCCTGTCGACTTGCATACTCAATTTTTTTATCAATAGCCGATGCTAAGTTTCACGTCTAATAAGACGCGGCGAGAGCCGATCACCCTTTGCCAGGAGCCCTGCCTTTGCAGATCCATGATGTCGAAGAAACTGCGGCCCGCATTCATCAGGGGTTCTTGATAAAGGAAATTAACTTGATGTACATGCAATTCACTTGAAGTAAAATCCTAGAAGGATAATGATCGTAAAGTAACAGGCTTTTTAGTCGACATGTGTGAGTTTATCATCGGTCGGGTTTTCCACTAATCTAGTAAAAGTTAAAACAACGCGTATTGTTTTAAAAGTTTTCAGAATAGATCCATATTTTTGAAAAGGGACGAAAACTGAGCGTTCATGACAAAATCGGCATCCTAAAGTAAAAACCAAAACAAAAAAAACAAAAGCAAAACAAAAAAAACAAAACTTTCAAACCGCCCACCATTTAAACTAATGCCCACAACCTCTCCCTGCCTCTCCAACCCCTCCCCGCCCCACCCCCCTACCCCAAACACCCCCCCTTGAGAGAAACCTGGGACCAAGGAGAAAATTCAAGATGGCGCCTGAAAGTTACCCACGTTTTCAGAGCCTGGTGAACTTTATAGTGATTTCAACGTTTGTATTGAACTTCATCGACATGGCTTAAACGGCTAAGCATTTGGGATTTATCCGTCGTCGTTTGGCTCATTCTCATGTACAGAAATGTGCGTCTTAATAGCGGGAAGCAAGCTCACAATCATTACGCTTACACAGCTTGTTGTCTGTTGGCCCTGACGTTGTAAAGGTAAATATATCAAAGGTAGGCTTTCCTGAGTTTGTAGAAATTTCGTGGAGACTATCATTCCTGTAATTAATGTAAGATTGTTTATGGACACATTTTCTGACTAAAAATGTACCAGTCCATTCCAAAACTGGAGAGTACAAAATGCAGACTGCAGACTGAATGCAGACCATTGTTTTCAGGGTTAGAAAACAGTCGGTGGGACTATTTTTGTCTCGTTCTGATTGCGTGGTGAAAACAATGGTCTGCAGCAGTCTGTAGTCTGCATTTTGTGATGACCGACTCCAAAACAGCCCATGCTTCCCCCACGCAAGACGCCAGGCATTTGACTTTTTTGAAAAATTTTGGTCAAATTCCCGGGTATGTTGGTAGTTTAGATGGTCGAATGCCCCACCAGCTCACCCTTCAAAAAGTGTCAAAAACGCCCACCCACCAACGACTGTTCAAAAATTTTCCCATGCGTCAAACCATTTGTTCAAATGTAAACATGCATCCTACTAAACGGAACCCAATACCTAATCAAGTCTTGGAAAGCTGTCTTACGGAGGTTTGTTCGTTTCAATAAAATTGTTCATTTCTGAGAGACCGCAGTTAATGGGCTTTTTCAAAGGCTCTCAAAATAATAAAAAGGATGTTAAGTCTATTTTTCAGCAACATTTTCATTGTATTATATGACAGTTGATCAATATACCACCGACAGTTGACCGATATTCTGCTGACATTTGAAGGTCACCGTATTGACCGAGTGTCCACCGCCATACTGGCAAAATACTGACCGATATTTGGTCGATATGTTGGTTAACATGTCGCCCAATATACTGGTCGATTTATCGTCCAACATATTGGTTGCGTTTCGGTCAATATTTTGACCGATATGTCAACAGAGTGTTAGTTGATAGGTCAGTCGCTATGTCGACCAAGGGGTGCATAAATTATGCAAGATCCCGATTTCCAGAGTGGTCTGTTCAATTCATTTAACTGGTGGACCAACTACAAAACTGACTAACTGACTGACTGACTGACTGATTTACTGACTTACTTAATAACTGACCCACTGACTGAGTGACTGTTTGACCGATGGGCTGACTTGTTGACTGACCAACTGACTGATTAATTAACTGACTCATTGACAGACTTAATGGTTGACTTGTTGACTGACTGAATGATTTGCTGACTTACTGGCTGACTGATTGACTGACTCACTGGTTAAAGCAATGACATAGGTTTTACACAACTTTGTGCCATACCATTTGTATAGATTCTACCCAGTGTCTGATTCTACAAGGGTTACTAATTGACTCACTGATTGACTAAAATGGCTGACTTACAGTTTACTGACCAACCAACTGACTGACTTAGTGATGGACAGGCTGCTTGCTGACTAACTGACTCATTGACTAACTGACTGAGTGGCTGACTTGTTGAGTGACTATCTCATTGACTGACGAAATGGACCGCTAGAGGATTAATGTACGGGGATAATCATTTAAATGTGGAGACTATTTTAGTAGCTTTGTGCTAAGAATTTCCCTTGCATAAGCTTAACAACCAGATGTCCATTACCGCTAAATATGATCATAATATTATTAGCTTTTTGGTATTTACTTTAAGCTTCCATTTTTGAGCATGGTTATAAATTACATCATGCAAATGTTGCAATCCTTCTGGTGAATTACTAATTACTTTAGAACAGGTCATCAGCATACATCAGGCAATTTGTATGTGTAATCAAATGGTGACAAGTGAAATTAGGGAACAATTTCACGCGCCAAGTGAAATTATTCCCTAATTTCACGAATATACTATTTGATTACCTATTAATATCATGGGTGACGAATTACGTTAGCAATCCTGGATTTTTGACATGTTTATCCTGGATCATATTGATCGAGAACTCCACTCTCTCAAATGTTTAGACCTTAAATTTGGCTTATAAAGTTCAGAGTTTTTTGGCAAAATACCTGTTAGAATCCTTCTTGATGTTCTCTAGTGTGTTCAGGTTTTCTAAAGCGTCTTTTTATGCCCTGACATCTTCATTCACGGCATTTTAAAACTTTGTCGCCATCTTGACACTGAGACGTACGGAAGGTTGTCATGGCAATTTTGTAATTTCACATCTGAAATTTCAAATTAACGCTGAAATTTCACACCAAAATTAAGGTGTAATTCGTCACCTATGATATTAAGTGATTAATTACCTAACTTTATGCCAGGGCAGTAAAGTCATTCGTGAAGAACATAACACTGGGCTTAAGCCATACCCTTGTCATATGCCTTTGTTACATAATAACCTCTCAGTCATTGTGTTTTGATTAACTTTCACACAACCTCAACTAATTGACTGACTGGCTGATTGACTGGAGGCTGACTTGGTGACTGACTTACTGACTTCTCTGCTTACCAACTTACTGACCAATTGACTGGCTTACTGTTTCAATTACTGACTGGCTGACTGACTGACTGACTGACTGACTGTGTGGCTGATAGAATGGTTGACTTACTGGCAACAATACTCGTCACAAATCGTTGAAACAAAACCCGTTTTTCTTGAATTTTTTGGAAAATTTTTGTACATTCACTCTTCTCACCTTTGTTCTCACTCAAATGAGCCCCTCTCCTTCCCCAATGTTGAGCTACTCGTATTTTGGAGCACTGAGATGACTGTAATACCCAAATCGACACTGGGAAAGGGGAAAATCACACAAGTGTTTCAAGATTTGTGACGAGTATTGTAGTTCATTGACTAATTGACTTGACTGGCTGGCAAACGTATTGAGATTCATACTAAGAAAAGGCATTAATTTAATGCCTTCATGATGTAAATCAAGATTACTGCAATTGCTGATGAAAATGACTGATTTTTCATTTCAGATCAGATTTGTCCAGCAGATGTGTCAAGACTTCAACAGCCAGGATTTTGAGCTTATCCTCAGTACTGTAAGTGCTGTATAGATTGCTTTGTAATCCAGTTATTGAATGAAGCAGATAAAGTAAAGTCGTGCAGCTTGCTTAAAGCAAGATTGACGTACAGTATCAGCAGCTTTTTGTGGCCGTACCTGGCCTAATTTAACACAAATTCAAAATCGTTTCAAATTTAACATTTCTGTAAAATGAGAGGTACATGTACATGTCTAAATATAATAGTGAAAGAAAAACACTACTTGAGTGACTTGACTTCTTGAGTGACTAGCAAGCTGTTTCTTGTTTACTACTGAGAAGGCAGAGATTCAACAAAATTTCCAAACTCAAAGGAAGAATATATTAAAACAGTTTTGTTAAAAATATTGCTCATATTTTTTAAAAGCATTTATTGAAATCAATAAATGTTTGTTTTGGTCTTTTCATGAAAGACAGCTTAAAGCTCTAGAACAGTTTGAGACCAAAGTGTACAGTTCTTTCCAACATGTAGAACATGACTTTTGTGTAAATAGGACAAAAAAAATTGTTCATTTTCAAATTCATTTCGAAATTATTTTGAATTTTCGACTGATAGCATCAAGCACTTTGGGTTTTTTCTTTTTTGCTTAATAGTTTCAAAAAGGTACATGTGCATAGTTGAAATCAAATCTTAAAATTAGAGTTTTTCTGACAAATGCCAACTCATACATGATCGGCTTTGAACGAGCTGTGCTACAATGTTGGTATAATAATGCCAAGTTCTTCTTTTAGTCAGTTATTATAGTTCTGCAATCTACATGATGCCATTTGAGTGGACTGATTTATTGACTGATTGACTGTTTCCTTGAATGATTGATCATTAGCTGATTGACCAACTGATTGAATGAGTGACTAACTGACTAACTGAATGAATGTTTAGCTGATTACATGACTGACTACATGTACCTGGCGGATTGACTGACTGTCTAACTGTCTTACTATCCGACTGACTGCAGATTATATTACGGATTAACTGACTGATGGACTGACTGATGGACTGACTGATTTGGTGACTGAATGACTCATTGACTGACAAAATGGCTGACTTGCTGTTGACTGAATGACTGATTAACTGACTTACTAATTGACTGACTGAATGACTGACTTACAGTTGACTGAAAAACTGGCAAACTGATTGACTGATTAGCTGACTTTCTTTACTGACTGACTGGGTGCTGATTGACTGACTGACTCATTGATTGACTTGTTGAGTAACTGACTGATTTATCAACCTACTGACTAGTTAACTGACTGGCCGACTACCTGAGCAAGTAACATACTGACTAACTGACTGGCTACCTGACTGCTATACTGGCAAATCAACTAAGTAACAGTTACTAGCTGACTGAGTGAGCAACAGACTTACATGTACCAACTAACTGACTGACTTACAAGCTGACAAACTGGGTAACTGACTTTCTGACTGACTGACTCAGGACTAATCAAGCAACTGCCTTACTAACTGACTTACTAACTGAGAAACTACTTGAGATTGTACTCAAATAGGGTAACTTCAGAGAACAAAAGAATCCTCATCCCCCCCTTGCCTGAATTTCATCTGATTACTTCGAGTCGTTGTTACTCCCTCAGTAATGTCTAAATCAACCGGCCGTTAATGCCGTCGAGTGATGTCACTAATAATAATAATAATAATAACATGTTTAAACAGGATGACCATTTCAGTTATAAAAAACTGCTATCAATATGGGTTCTGTATAAAAATAAACGAATAAATAGATAAAAACTCAATTATAATATACGAAACTGGGATACATTACATAATTATAATCAAGAAAAAAATGTACATCTACATAGCCTCCTTATGAACAAAACTACATACAATCATTAAAAAGGGTAGCCCCCTTATAAAAAAAGGCCCTCTTGGTCAACTCGAGATTGACTTTATCAATAGATAACCTATCCTTAGACCTAGTCTCATAGTCATGAATATCATAAGTTCGCCGTCGAAAATAATCTGAGAAATAACTTGGAGCTTGTCCACCAAGACAATAATTATTCTTGACAAGTTTGATGATATGTTTCTCTCTTCTCGTCTTAAGAGGGTCCCAACCAAGACCGGAAGCCATATCTTGAGTGGACAAATGCACCGTCTTTAGCACTATCCTAGCAGCACGTCTCTGCAGGCATTCCAATATTCTTCGTCATTTCCTTTACCACAGCCATAAAAAACAGCACAACAGTATTCCAAATTTGGTAGTATCATCGATTTATACAATCGGTTCGATGCTTCAGTTGTTAATGATGATCTAATTCTTGAGAACATCCCCAGTGTTGTAGAAACTTTCTTCTTCACATAGTCAATATGCAAATTAAAGGAAAGACTGTTGTCCAAAACTATGCCTAGGTACTTACAGGCATCACAGTGTTTCACAGATTCTCCTCCCAATGTTATAATTTATGAGCCTCATCGATGTCTTCCTCTGGTTGGTGCCAAAAACCATGAACTCAGTCTTCTTTAAATTCAGAATCAGTTTATTTGTAGACAGCCACTCGGACAGATTAATCAGTTCCAAATTCAACTGTAACTCAATTTCCGATATTAGTGGAGTTGAGAAAAAGATAACTGTGTCATCAGCATACATCATAACTTTACAGACATCAACACAGGTATATATACAGTGTAAATGAAACTGGACCAATGATACTCCCTTGAGGCACTCCACTTAGGACAGCTAAGGGACTCGACAACTCTTTATCCTGGGAGACAGCTTGAAATCTGTTGAATAGATAGCTTGTAAACCAATTAATCGAATTTTCTCCAAAGCCAAATCTTTTCAATTTGGATGAGAGTTCCTCGTGCGTCACAGAATCATAGGCCTTCCTTAGATCAATAAACAAAGCACCTGCTAACTTTCACTACTCCTTTGCTTTAATTCATGCAAAAACCAAAACACGATTTTCAAGTCACAAACCAAGAAATATCGTTTGGAAATGTTCACATTACACAGAACAGCTGACAAAATGTCTTTACTCTTTTCGATCGTAATTTAACATTCAAACTGTCAATTGCATGCAGTACTCTGAACCGGTTGTAATTCAAACTCAGTCACAATCATGCAATCAGTGAAATAAATAAACACTCACGCAACACTTAGTTCAAAACACAAAGATTTCCTTTAATAATTGAAAAGACGCTATTTGGTCCTTAACAAAGAAAAAAGAAAACAATAAAGAAAAGGTAATTAACAGAATCATTAGACTTGATGGTGAAAATAGCAAGAAGGTCGAATGACAACATGACATTGGTCTCAGAAACTTTGCATAAACAAAATCACTGCAGAAACCACAAAGCGGCTCTAAAAGATAAACCTACCGACTCTCCGGAATGATTCTTCATTCACAGTTCAATTTAGCAATTCAGTTTCGAAGACAAGGGCAATTTTGCTGTTTACAATAAAGATTATCGAAATGTTTGAACTCCACTCAAGCATGCCACCTATGCAATCTGCTGAATATCTAGTGACAATCCCGCTAAAATTTCTCATAATTATACATAATTATGCAAATGTTTAGACAATCAACCAATCAAAATCACTACCCGGTTTTTGGGTAGTAGTGATGTCACTGGACGGCATTAACGGCTGGTTGATTTAGAGGTTGCTGAGAGGAGAAAACGACTCGAAGCAATAGGATGAAATTCAGGCTACATCCCTCCCCTGTCCCCTAAATCAATCATTTTCAATCAATCATTTATTTTAACACGTTGCGCCAAAGAGCTAAAAAACTCGTTCAAAATACGAACGTGTAATTCAAAGTTGGGGTGTTTGTCGTTTTCTATAGGTAGCTCGAACATCGGCACAACATTGCATGGAGGGGATGGGGAAGGAAAAGCTATATTTCCTCCTTTTGAAGTCGGTAAAGCGTAAAAAAGCCCAGTTTAGGGTGAAGTGTCTCAACTCGCTGATTGTAGCTGAGTAATTGTCTGAAATACTAACTGACCAACCAATTGACTGAGAAATTGACTAATTTACTTACTAACTAATCAGCTGACGTAATAACTGAGCAACTCAGTAACTGGCTAACTGTTAAAATGACTGACTGACTCAGCAAATTAGTTACTGGCTAACTGTCTAACTTACTGAATGGCTAAGTAACTGAGTCACTGACTGATTGTTGAACTGACTTATTGACTGACTGGCTGATGGAATGACTGATTGAATAACTGACAGAATGACTGACTAATTGAATACCTTACCAAGTGTCTGACTAACATCAAGCAACCGACTGGCTGACTGAGCTGAAAAAGTCACTGACTAGCTGACTGGCCACCTGACTGACAGACTGACCAACTGACCAACTGACCAAGTGACTGACTGTGTAAAGGAGGAGTACTGTTTGCTAGTACTCTGCAGTCAAGGGGTGGGTGTTAATTTATAATTATTATATGTGGTAAATTATTCCAACATGTTTGCTCTTTGGTATTCATGAAAATATGATGCAGTCAAACCTTTTTAATATGGGCACTAAGCGGGCCATATTAACAAGTTGTCAGTATTGAGCAGGTTGAATTAATTAGAGAAAGATTAAAGCTTTCTTTCCCGAGGGACAAAGCAAACTGTCTGTAATAATAAACTTTCTGAACTAAGCGGGTGTCTGTAAAGCAAAGTTTGACTTTAATGGGAATTGGTCTGTTCTGAAAATAACTAGCCTGCGTGGCAGGCATTTGGAGGGGAAAGGAAAGGGAGTTTTAGGCGAGAGAAATGCAAGGGCTAGAGCGCACGAGGAGGGAGGGAAGGAAACGCCTGCCAGGAAACCATTGTTTTTGCCATCCTGCCTACTAATTATTCATGCAAAAATAATGCAACTGTGAATGACTAGCTGTCAAATAAGTCTGGAAGTGATACACTTATTTTTAGCTTTTGTTTTTCTAAAACAAGATATCTGAAGTGTAGGTACGTTCTATAAAAAAAATTTCAAATGCTGTCGTCCGTTGAGAGAAGGAAGTTGCAATGATGCTTGTCTTGTTATATAAAATGCAGCATAACTCTATTACGTCATTTGCTGAAGGAAACGTGCTGGACGTCGCAACTTGCATGCAATGTTTGTCTGAGAAAAATTTAAAACACTTTGCTGGATCTCGAACTGGATCCAACAGAGCATTCAGAAGAACAATCATTGGTAGCGGCTTTATAACGTCTATAACCAGCAAGACCAAAAATCGTCTTCAACAATCTGGTCATTGATAAAACGTAGCCTGCATGGTGGGCATTTGAGGTCAAACAGCAGATAACAAGCACACACAGGCAGCATGATATTTCCTTTCTTTCTTCTAGTGAATAAAACAAGCTGTTGGGAGATGAGACTTCTCAAAACCAGTCAGTAAAACTCATCTCGCTGACACAAGATCTTTTCCTCCATACGGTTCTTTTAACTGTCTTCTTCTATTCTCCATTTCAAGCTGAATTTGATGCCTTCAGTTTGTAATTCTAATGATAAATTCCGTACAGACGTCTCATCACGGCTTCACTAACAACATATTTTTAAATTATTACTGAAAGATCGATTTAGTTACTCAGTAGCGTGATGTTGATTTCAACCAATCGGATTAAGGTATTATGGCTGTGATTGACATGTTTTGAAGACTGACCAATCAGGATTTTAACATTTGCCTGGTGGATGTTAAAAACGAGAAATACGATGGTCTCCTGGCAGGTGTTTCCTTCCCCCCATCCTCACACACCCCTCGCATTTCCCTCGCGCCTCAAACTCCCTTTCCCTTCCCTTTCAAATGCCTGCCACACAGGCTAGAAAATAACTGATGAGCTTCATTGAATATTTTAAATTTTTGTTTCCAGATCGGATGCCACAGAAAGACTGGACAAGGACCTTCATGAGCCAAGAGCCTCTGTTATCTTCAGTAATGTAAGTGCTGTGTTTTTTGTGTTTTAATCCAGCTCTTAAGTAAACCAGATAAACAGAACTGTTTGGTTTAAAGTTTCATAAAGTGACTGTCTGACCAACTGACTGATTGACTGTCTGATTAACTGATTAATTTGCTTAGTATAATTCTAACTTATCAACTAACCATTTTGACTGACTGACTGAACAACTTAGATACTGGCTGACTGTCTACTTGTAACAGAGTGACTGGCTGATAGAATGACTGATTCATAACTGACTGAATGACTGACTGAATGAGCAACTTACAGTACCAGATACTGACTAGTGGAGCAACTGACTGACTGACTGACTGACTATGCAATTGGGTATCGAACCGGCTGACAGAATGACTGATTGAGCGACTGACTGACTGACTGACTGTGCAGTTGGGTACCTGACTGACTGACAGAATAACTTACTGATTGAGCAACTAACTAACTGACTGTGCAATTGGGTGCCTGACTGACTGACAGAATGACTGACTGAACAACTGACTGACTGTGCAGTTGAGTACTTGACAGGCTGACAGAATGACTGACTGAGTGACTGACTGACTGTGCAACTGGGTACCTGACTGGCTGACAGAATGACTGATTGTGCAACTGACTGACTGTGCAGTTGGGTACCTGGTTGGCTGAGAGAATGACTGATTGAGCAACTGACTGACTGACTGACTGACTGTGCAATTGGGTACCTGACTGACTGACAGAATGACTGATTGAGCAACTGACTGACTGATCCTTGAACAATGGTCACAAACGTTACACTAAATGGCAGGATAATAGTAACCTGGAACTTAAATTAAGCCCAAAAAACCACTGGTCCTAAATCAGTGGAAACAGTCTGAAATTACATTGCTACATCTGTATGCTCATAAAGTTATAATTTATTTGTAAAAGTTCTATAAAATGTATTCCAGAAGTGCTATTTGCTAGTACAGTGAAGGGGTGGGTCTTAATTTACGATAATCTTATGTGGTAAATTATTCCAACATGTTTGCTGACGAGTATTCATGAAAATATTATGCAGTTGAACATTTTTAGTATGGGCACTAAGGGGGGCATAGAAAGTGTCCAGTCCATAAAGCAAGGTTTGAATGTTAATGGGAAACTGGTCTGTTCGTATGTGTAATCAAATGATGACGAGTGAAATTAGGGAATAATTTTACTCGTGTTTTGTCCAAATCCAAATAATTTCCTGAGCCTTTGGGTAAGGGACTTGGACAAAACGCAAGTGAAATTATTTCCTTATTTCACGAGTCTACCATTTGAGTACCTATTAATAATTATCATGAGTGATGAATTAAGTTTGCATTTGTGGATTTTTGAGATGTTTATCCTGGATCGAAGACAAGAACTCTCTCAAAAGTTAAGAGTTTAAGTTTGGCTTAAGTTCAGAATTTTCAGAATATTTCGACAAAATACCTGTTAGAATCCTTGATGTGCTTTAGTGTGTTTAGATGCCCTGACATCTTCATTCCATGATAACATTTTAAATTTCCATTACCATCTTGGCACTGAGACGTACGAAAGGTTGCTATGGCAATTTTGTAATTTCACATGTGAAATTACAAATTAATGCTGAAATTTCATGCCCAAATTAAGGAGTAATTCGTCACCTATGATATTATGAAAGTAACTGTTGAGCTTCATTGAATATTTTAAACTTTTGTTTCCAGATCAGATGCCACAGGAAGGCTGGACAAGGACTTTCAGGAGCAAAGAGCCTCTGTTATCTTCAGTACTGTATGTGCTCTATGTTTTGCTTTGTAATCCAGCTCTTGAGTGAACCAGATAAACAGGATTGTTGGCCAAGTGATTTCAAAGTTTGATTAAGCTAATCCAGGGAAAACTGTTGCAATATAGATATATTGTGCCTAATTCTTTCATTTCACAGTTATTTCACCATCAAGTGTACCACTTTTGGGAGTAGAAGATTATCAATCTTATTTTTTCCAATAAAACAACAACAACAACAATAAAAACTGAAAAAACGTGCAAAATAAAATGCAACATTTTAAGAGCAAAATTCCAAAATAACATTAAATCAAGTACAGTTGTACAGCTTGGTCAACATTATTATGGTGAAAATTAAATAATTCAACCCATGATCATCCACTGGAGTGTAGTTCTGAACAGCTACAGCTGTTGGAGATTCAGTGATTGGCTTTTCAAAAGTGTATAAAAGAAATTGACAGGGTCGAAAAAATACTAATTTTTAATATTGACCTTTAATAATATTGTTACTTCAAGACCAAGCAATAAAATCATTATTTTTAAGGGATCCATTCAGCATTTCTTTTGAACTTTGTATGAATTAGACATTTTACATTAAACAAATGCTTACAATTGGCAGTTTTATGTCTGCAGGGAATCACAATACAAAGACAGCTGAAACGCACTGAAATCTTTTTGGTTTCAAGGACAAAAATAATTTGATTGATTTGATTGAAAATTCTAAGAGACATGCACTTGTTGGTGAAGTATTCATAATCAGAAAACTTAAATGCAAAAACCGCGGTCATTATAAGTTTTCTCCTGGATTAGTATTTATCAACTTTGTTCAACTGTGTCACAACATTTAAACCAATAGCCAAGTTCTGCTGACATAATGATAATGATAATAATAATTATAATTATAATTATTATTATTATAAGGTTGTTATTATAGTACTTGTTAGTGCAGATATGCAATCCATATTGTACCCTTCAAATTTCTTACCTCTTTGATCTATTCAAATGACTGTCTGACTTAATAATTGAATAGGATGACTGTGATGACAAGGACAACCAGCATGACTACTATAACTGGGATGACTGGAATTACTGTGATGAATAACATGACTGGGACGACTAGGGTGACTAGGATGACTGGAATGACTAGGTCGACTGGGACTTAGCAGTGATTCAGGTCCATGAAAAAGTGTTTAGGACAAATGTACTAAAGGGCCAAATTTTCTTAGGACATTTTAGTTTTTGTCACATAATTTTTTTTGGTTATGACAAAATAGATGGAAACACGAACGCTCTTACAGCGGCATTCTCTCTTGCTTTATTGAAGATTAGATTGAGAAATGAGGAGGTGATTAATTCTACACGAAACAGAGTTTACTCACTAAAGGTTTTTTGCTTCTTACTTTATCAATGTCGATACTTTTTATTTGTTTCTGAATTGATTTAACATGCGTGTTGGCAACAACCCAAAATACATCTGCTGCAGGCTATATGCATGTATAAATACACGAAAATTCAAGGCCCTCAATTCCAGATAAATTACATCAATGCCATAGATCAAAAATTGATTTACATGGCATGTCATTTCAATCATCGTCGAAAATAAATCACATGCTCATCACAAGACCCATTTACATACAATGAAAGTTTACAGCACCAGACCATTGCAGTTTTGCTAATTAAGAGTCTTATTTTTTTCGACCACTCAGAAGTGTTCACTTGGTCCAAAGCAGTCAACGCTTTCAAGCAATAGAATTCGTGGACCAACACATTTCAGAAAAGCTCTAAATTTAATCTTCCCTAAGCTTTCTTCACAAAACATGCACGGGTTCGATCACTCAACGATTCTTAGTCCCAGTTTTTCACGGTCTCCACATAGAAAGCCTGGCACAATGACCTTCCTTTTGTGTCCTAAATACGACGAAAAATGCGTTGCAGATTATGAGCTTCCCTGCTTACATAAGCGAGACTAATTAGATCCTTTCAAGATATTTTTTGTTTAAAAGATACTTTAAAATATACTTTCACAAGTAAAAAGCCTAGGAGACCTATTTCTTTTGTTAATAGCATTGCCAATGCATGACTGCATTAAACTTGAATATATTATACTCTTTCAAGTTTGAAGTTTGTGTTTCCAGAATGAGATGTGAACATACTTTGTATTCCTCTTTCCTTACCTATTAAACATACCGTGGATTTTAAAATTACAAACACAGCACAGAAAAAAAATGTTCAAAACATGTGACTTTCACAACAAAGAAAAATCGTCACAGGATATTCTTATGTTAGCCAAACATACTCACATAAACTGCACTTCATGCTGTTGTTTTCTTGATCATAATCCAGCCATGGATAGCTTTTAAGCCATCGTGGCTGGAATTTTCTTTTAGCTTTGGTGGCAATTTCTTTTGTTGGATCATCAACATCATTCAAATCTTCATGAGCAACTTGCATTGTTGTGCTTTCTTTATCAGATTCGTCTTCGCACTGCTTTCTTCGTGTGAAAAAATATAGCAAAGGTTTTTGGCTCTTTTCAGCCATAACTAAGGTCTTTCTTTCACATGGTTTGCTCAAAAAAGAATCAAAGTTGGCGCCTGCATTATAACAAGCGCTCCTATTGGCTTTTGTCTGACTAATCGCACACACTGTGAGATCTTTGTAAAATACATCCAAGACAGCAGCGGTTGGGTTGTTCAGTGACTAGGGATATATTCACTACAAAAATGGAAAATTGTGCTCATCTCTAACATTAATCACTACCACAAAACACATTTAGAGTATTTCATATTTTATTTTCATTTTGGATATTTGTCATAATTAGGGAAATTTGTTCAGACAAATAAAAATTGGTCTCTGACTATGTCCGAAGACCGACATGAATCTGAATCACTGCTGGGATGAGTGGGATTACTAGGACGACTTGAATGACTGGGATGACACTGCTGACTGGGGTGACTGAGATGACTGGGATTTTGGGGATTACTAACATAACTGGCGTGGAATGACTAGGCTGACTGGAATGACTAAGTTGACTAGGAAAACTGAGGTGACTGGGATGACTGGGATCACTAGAAGGACTGGGACAACTAGAATGACTGGGATGACTAAGTTGACTAGGAAAACTGGGGTGACTGGGATCACTACGATGACTAGGGTGAATGGGATGACTGGGATCAGTAGGATGACTAGGGTGACTGGGATGACTGGGATCACTAGGATGACTAAGGTGACTGGGATGACTGGGATCACTAAGATGACTGGGATGACTAGGTCGACTGGGACTTAGCAGTGATTCAGGTCCATGAAAAAGTGTTTAGGACAAATGTACTAAAGGGCCAAATTTTCTTAGGACATTTTAGTTTTTGTCACATAATTTTTTTTGGTTATGACAAAATAGATGGAAACACGAACGCTCTTACAGCGGCATTCTCTCTTGCTTTATTGATGATTAGATTGAGAAATGAGGAGGTGATTAATTCTACACGAAACAGAGTTTACTCACTAAAGGTTTTTTACTTCTTACTTTATCAATGTCGATACTTTTTATTTGTTTCTGAATTGATTTAATATGCGTGTTGGCAACAACCCAAAATACATCTGCTGCAGGCTATATGCATGTATAAATACACAAAAATTCAAGGCCCTCAATTCCAGATAAATTACATCAATGCCAGAGATCAAAAATTGATTTACATGGCACGTCATTTCAATCATCGCCGAAAATAAATCGCATGCTCAACACAAGACCATTTACATACAATGAAAGTCTACAACACCAGACCATTGCAGTTTTGCTAATTAAGAGTGTTATTTTTTTCGACCACTCAGTAGTGTTCACTTGGTCCAAAGCAGTCAACGCTTTCAAGCAATAGGATTCTTGGACCGACACATTTCAGAAAAGCTCTAAATTTAATCTTCCCTAAGTTTTCTTCACAAAACATGTACGGCTTCGATCACTCAACGATTCTTAGTCCCAGTTTTTCACGGTCTCCACAAAGAAAGCCTGGCACAATGACCTACCTTTTGTGTCCTAAATACGACGAAAAACACGTTGCAGATTATGAGTTTTGCTGCTTACGTAAGCGAGACTGATTAGATCCTTTCAAGATACTTTTTGTTTAAAAGATACATAAAAGTATACTTTCAGATGGAAAAGGTCTAGGAGACCTATTTCTTTTGTTAATAGCAATGCCAATGCATGACCGCATTAAACTTGAACGTATTATACTCTTTCAAGTTTGAAGTTTGTGTTTCCAGAATGAGATGTGAACATATTTTGTATTCCTCTTTCCTTACCTATTAAACATGGAGTGGATTTTAAAATTACAAACACAGCACAAAAGAAAAATGTTCAAACATGTGACTTTCATAACAAAGAAAAATCGTCACAGGATATTCTTATGTTAGCCAAACATACTCACATAAACTGTACTTCATGCTTTCTTTTGTTGGATCATCAACATCATTCAAATCTTCATGAGCAACTTGCATTGTTGTGCTTTCTTTATTAGATTCGTCTTCACACTGCTTTCTTCATGTGAAAAAATATAGCAAAGGTTTTTGGCTCTTTTCAGCCATAACTAAGGTCTTTCTTTCACCTGGTTTGCTCAAAAAAGAATCAAAGTTGGCGCCTGCATTATAACAAGCGCTCCTATTGGCTTTTGTCTGACGAATCGCACACACTGTGAGATCTTTGTAAAATACATCCAAGATGGCAGCGGTTGCGTTGTTCAGTGACTAGGGATATATTCACTATATGGAAAATTGTGCCCATCTCTAACATTAATCACTACCACCAGACACATTTAGAGTATTTCATATTTTATTTTCATTTTGGATATTTGTCATAATTAGGGAAATTTGTTCAGACAAATAAAAATTGGTCTCTGACTATGTCCGAAGACCGACATGAATCTGAATCACTGCTGGGATGAGTGGGATTACTAGGATGACTTGAATGACTGGGATGACACTGCTGACTGGGATGACTGAGATGACTGGGATTTTTGGGAGTACTAACATGACTAGCATGGGATGACTAGGCTGACTGGAATGACTAAGTTGACTAGGAAAACTAGGGTGACTGGGATGACTAGGATGACTGGGATGACTGGGATCACTAGAAGGACTGGGACAACTAGAATGACTGGGATGACTAAGTTGACTAGGAAAACTGGGGTGACTGGGATCACTACGATGATTAGGGTGAATGGGATGACTGGGATCAGTAGGATGACTAGGGTGACTGGGATGACTGGGATCACTAGGATGACTAAGGTGACTGGGATGACTGGGATCACTAGGATGACTAGGGTGACTGGGATGACTGAGATCACTAGGATGACTAGGGTGACTGGGATGACTGGGATGACTAGGGTGACTGGGATCACTAGGATGACTCGGGTGACTGGGATGACTGGGATGACATGGATTACTGGGATGACTGAGATGACTGGAATGACTAGGATCACTGGGATGACTACTGGTAAATTAACTAGGGTGACTGAAATGACTGTCATGACTAGGATGAAAAAGACGACTTAGTTGGCTACTGTTACTGTTAGTTGGCTACTGTTACTGGGATGAATAAGATGACAGGGGATGACAGGGGATAACTGGGATGACTGGGATGACTTAGTTCACTACTATGACTGGGATGACTAGGATGACTAGGGTGACTGGGATGATTGGGATGACTGGGATGACTAGGATGACTGGAATGACTGAGATGACTGGGATGGCGAAGATGACTGGGATATGTGGGATTACAAACATGACTGGAATTACTAAGATGACTGGGATGACTAGGGTGACTGGGTTGACTGGGACGACTGGAATGACTGGAGTGACTAGGATGACTGGGTTCATTAGGGTGACTGGGATGACTGGGATCACTAGGACGACTGGGATGACTAGGATGACTGGGATCACTAGGACGACTGGGATGACAGGTATGACTGGGATCATTAAGACGACTGGAAGGACTGGGATGACTAGGGATGACTAGGATGACTGGGTTGACTGGGATCACTAGGACGACTGGAATGACTGAGTTCTTTAAGATGACTGGTTTGACTAGGATGACCGGGAGGAGTGGGGTGACTAGGATGACTAGGACTTTTAAAGTCGCTTGCTTTGCTGATGGAAAAAAATTTCCAAAGTTGTTACTGACTGTCAAACTGAATAACTGACGAATAACTGTTGAATTTTATTCTGACTGACCAGAATCAGTGCAGAATGATCTGACGTTTAACCCAACTGTTTCAAAAGACAGACCGATGTTTGAACTGACCTGTATGACAGCTGGAGGGTCTGACCAAGTCACAGTGATCTTATTATTTTGGATATGTATTTTAATGGTATAGTTGGTAGACTGCATATCTGTGCTGACTCGTATATTCGTTTTCTGTGAACTTGATGAGTGCATTTCAAATCTCTTCTTGCTTTAACCATCAATTTCCCAGCATGGAAATACGTCTTAGGAATGACTGAATGCACTTCACATTGATGATGTGCAGTGTAGTGCTTCTTGCTGGTTGCTAATTATTTCAACGATGACAATATTTATACAACCAATCCAAATCATCAGCCAACTTAAGACATCATTTGATGGGGGGCGGGTGGAAGGAGAGGAGAGTTTCTTCTTAGGTAAAACTTCAGTCGTGGCAGATTGGCAAATTAATCTGTTGTTTTGTCTTAGAGCTTGAATTTCTGACTGACATTCATCACTGCAATAACTTACCTTCCTATTCTTTAAGGTGATGTTTCAGTTGAATTGAAGAAAATGTCTAAATTCTTAAATTCAATTCCGTTTTCATTTCTACGTTCGGGGAAAATCTATTCCAATTTTTTTTTCACAAGAAAATAAGATTTGGCATTGGTGAACTGGATTGTTCCTTTAATTTGTTTTAATTGATTGAGAATTTGGATTGCGTGCCAAACCTTGAAACCTCTTTGTGGTAAACAACAGCAAGTGCTTTGAATATGAATCTTGTGGCTCTCGTTCTGACATTCGTTGAATAATTTTACCAATATGATAAGTCTACTGCTTGCAAAATGGAATAAGAAGTACGCAGTAACAACAGCAGCAACAATGAAATCATTAAAATAGAGTCGCCACTGAAAATTTCTGCCGCAGTGTTTTAAAGTACGTTTGACAAGCTCTGAGTAAAACTGGGCGTGGAAAATTTAGTGAACTTCTGAGGAGGTTAAGTGGGGAGATTTTGAAAACTTGCACTCATCTTTTTCAATTCCAAAGTGATCAACATGTTATTTCTCTTTACTTCTTTGAGTAAATTACCAAGCAGGTTGTTGAAAACAAGCATAATTCTGATGGATGTGAAGGCTTTGTCTTGATCAACTGTCAAATTCTCAGAACTAATGGTAGAGAAAATCTGCAGCAGTTAGTAAAGAAAATAACATGTTAAAAGTTTGGACTGAAAGTTCACAGCAACCTAAAGGCCTTCAGATAAGTAGTTTGTTTTGCAATAACAATGCAATTCATAAATACATGTGCAAATTGAAATTTTTATTAACAGCTACTCGTATCAAACTCGGAGTCTTTTTTTCGGCCGTTATTTAAGCTCGTCACGCGGAGTCGTGGAGCCAAATGACGACCGCGAAGAAGATCACACGCAAGTTTGACATCGGATTTAGAGCATTGTAAAGTTTTTTTTCTGTTAGGTATTTTTCTATGTGCATGTATTTTGTGGGATGCCGTTAATGAAAAACAAACCTCTTACTGAAAAAGTCTGAAATTTATTCCCCTATGTTTTTCCAACTTTTGGAGCTAAAGCAATCACAATGACGACGGCGGCACATAACAGAAGGCTTCACATACGCGCTCGCTTTAATTCTTTTGTACATTTATTCGTATCTGAACGCAAAACAGCAAGAAAGGTAATGATCAAATGCGAGGTCAGTTTGACAAGAACATAAACATTAAGCTATGAAATTTCAAGTTCAACTCCGCGCGCAAAAAATTAAGTTTGATAGGTAAACTAAAACTGCAGCTAAAAACATTTCAAAGGGTCGCTGATATTCGCAAGACCTCTAATTTTTTTTTGAAGTGCCGATCTGAGTGCCGTCGCCGTAGTGATCTGTTAAGCTTTATTACATTTGAAGCAGAACTTGGCTTATTCTAAGGCTCGGACAATCAGTAAAACATTACGCGCAGTAACTTTACGCTGTGTTTCTACTCCTATAAAGCGTTATTATGTAAAATTGAAACCCAATATTGTTTTCTGTTCTGGAACCTTCGCACAAGGATTTTAAGGGGTGGAAAGACTGTGTAATTTTACGGCATGTTTTTACTCGCGGCGTACCACAGGCTTATGTTTAGTGAGGTCATCAACAACTGAAGTTTATTAAAATACAAAACTGAAGGTATGAGCACAAAGAATTGTTGAACAGTCGAACTTATTCATATTTTGCCGTCGAATAGGATTAACACAACACGAGCTGAGCACAACAAAATAAACATGATTTTGGTTTATCTTGCTTGAGCTTATGTTGTGTTAATTCTTAGCGCGGTAGAATATAATAAATGCCTCGGGTTTCTTATATTTGTGCTTATGTTTTTGTTGTTGATGTCTTCACTAAACTGACGCTTGTGTTCATGTCGTTAGTAAAAACCAGCCTTTACTGCGCGCTATGTTTTACTGTGTCCGAGCCTTTAGGGTGTTTATCTGGTTCACTCAAGTAGTTGGATTACAAAGTAAACAGCACAGGTACTGAAGATGACAGTATTTTATTGAAGAAATAAAGCTTGTCTCTGTTGTCCATTTAATTACAATAAAAAAAATACAAAAAAAAAGTAATCTAGCCTACCCCGTCCCTGCTGGGCTGCTTCCACTCTGCTCCGAGTCGGTGTTCATTCTTCTGTCCTCATTTGATATTCCAACTTTAAAATCCTGGTCTGTTTTATCTGATCCCTTCATTCAACCTGGGGGCAGTTGGACACTTAGAAAATTTGGCCGTTTGTCCCCAAGTGGGGAGGGCAGCGTGAAGGAAAGTGAGAGTTTGCTCCTCATGCTCTCAGGGTCTCATTCACCTTTGTCAAAATACCACACCAAATTAATTTGGAATTAAAATTAGCCAAAAGTAATTTGTAGTGAAAATTATAATTTTGTTTTGAAAGTGCGTGTCTGCAAAGTGAATATATCGTGAAAAATATCCAAAGTCGTGGACAAGAAAAAAGAGGGCGCAAGACAGTGAAACTCAGTCTTCAGTGGGTCTCCGTCAACGATGCCCAGAAAATTGAACAAAGAATCGCACTGGTCTGACCGGCCTTCATTCCACAAACTTCACCAAAGAGCACAAGTCAATAATAATCTCTCTTCTGCGAAGCTACTGATATTGGATTTCTCTCGCCCTAGTTTTTGTTTAGTATTTAGTGTTTAGACCTACATTAAAGGAAATTTGAAAGTGAAAGATACGCAAATTGTTTTCGCATCGTTTATTATTATTATTCTTAAAAGTCGAAATTATCTGAAGGTAATAAAGCGAAACATCAAGAAGCAAAATTTACGGAGTACTAATATAGTGCCGCGTAAATTATGCCTTAAATATTTCGTTTTATATCTTACAATTCGCTGCGCTTATAATATAATGTTGAATTCGTCTAGATCAGTGTCGCGTGGGTTTGCCATCAAATTTCGCCAAAGGGATTAAAGCGGTTTTGCACTGAAATGATTTAAATTTTGGCTTGTTTTCCTTCCCGTAGAAATAGTTCGATTAATTGTCTCATTGAAATAAAGGTTTATTTTTATCTTAGGAAAGTTAGTGGGAGCGAAATGTGAAGCTAGTAAAATTAATGTTTCAGTTCCTAAAAAAAATTTGGATTCGATAACAAGTCTTCAAACCCGATGTTTCTCTGCATAATAATTATTTAAATTGTCCTATCTTTAAGTTCCCACGAGATTTGAAGCTTTAATCACGATGACCACGCTAGCCGACTATACCAGCATTGCGTGACGATCGTGACAATAGCCCAAATAGCGTAGAAATAGGGTCGTGACTGGAATGGATACTTTAAATCAGTATTCAGATAAATGACTGGAACTAGCCAAATACATAATTTTTAATATATAAAAAAATGATCTTTAATATATAGTTCCAGACCTATATCCAAAACCCTGATTTGAAGCACCAATTGAAGTCACAACCGAAAAATTATCTTAACGTGAAAAGTTAAGATTTATTCTAGCTGTTTACATAAGGCTATCCGAAATTTAGGTCAATTAAACCTGATTTTTCACACAGCCCAAGGAAATCTATTCTATGTCCTTCCTACAAATTAAGGATATAGAGCAGACTACCACAGCTGTCTGATCAATCAAGTCTTTCCTTATTTCGAAAATGGTTTAGTATCTAAAGCTGATATTATTAGTCTAACATCAACAGCCATGTTTGTTTGCCTATTGTTTTCAGTTAACCAAAAAACAACAGGCAAAAAAAAAGAAATGTTGATGTAACCTAGACTTAGTTTTGATAAATTTGTTATAATCTGAGGTAGGAAAAAGATGGAAATCAAATAAATTTGGACCTATTTCGGAGCGTTATTTCGGTTTTACGGTTTTAATTAAATTTTCAGGTAGTCAAAAAATATCAGTACAGAATTTGGCAATTATGGAAATGATTTATACGCTATTTTTGTTTTTAAATTTGTTATAATCTGAGCCATTCTGAGGCAGGAAAAAGATGGAAATCAAATAAATTTGGACCTATTTC